TATTATATCTATAATTTATTTAGAATGGTTAATAAAATGGTTTAAATATATTTTAATTATGTAGAAATAGAGAGATATGTGTATTATTTTTTTTATCAAATTATTGGCAAACAATTATTATTTAAGATATTAATTATGATTAGTAGTTAATTTAAGTTAAATAGTTAATGATTGAAAATAGTAGATGAATATCAAATAATGAGAGTTAAACTGAAATTTTCGGACAACATTTATTAGGATTATTATGAATAGTGAAAAATCTATAAATAAAATTATTAAATAGATATGTCTAGAACAAACAAATAGGTTGAGTAATAGCCAGCACCAAACAAGAAGGTTTAAGCACCTGCTAAGCCTTAAAAACCAAAGGAGAATTATTTGACTCCAGAAGAAATCAATGATTTGAGAGTAAGAGTGTTGTAACCATAAAAAGGAAACATTTGATTTATTTGATGATGATAAGAGTGGCACAATTGATGCACACGAAATTAAAAAGGTGCTTGAAGATTTAGGAGTTGATGCTAGAAACAAGTTTGTGTATCAAATGGTGTAAGATTTGGAAAAGTATTAATATACATCTTAATATTAGTTTTGGAGGCTCAATTGATTTTGATACTTTTGTTAATATTATATCAGATAGATTGGGAAATAATAAAACAAAAGAGGGTGCATTCAAATTGTTCCAAATTTATGATCCAGAAGATACTGGGTATATATTTGAAGATATTTTAGATTCATTGATTTTGCCAATCTTAAACGTGTGGCAAAGGAATTGGGTGAAACTCTCAATGATGATGAATTGCATGAAATGATCCATCATATTCACATTCTAAGAAAAACAGAGAGTCCAGAATAAATCTCATTTGAGGAGTTTTACGAAATCATCACTGCTCCAAGAAGATATTGAGAAAATAAAATCACATATATTAAATCATCATATGGCAAATATATATCTATATTTAAATATAATTCAAAATTATAAGATGAAGAATAAGATAATAATTATTAAATACTTCAAATATTACTTATAATAAATAAAATTAGTATGAAAATGTTAAAAATAATTATTATTATTATTATTTTACATCTATAAAACATATAATATACTTTTAAAAGATCATAATTCTTAATCTATAAGTTCAATTCTCTACTGTCTATAAAAATAGGCTTTATTTGCAATTTTAGATTTTTAATATTTGAAATATTAAATGAATTAAGAATCATTATAGTTGAATATTATAATTAATATAATATTTTATATTTACCATGAGAAATTATATCAATTTTATGATTCTACAATGCCATCTGATTAAAAATACAGATTACGATTTGTTAGATTTTGAGGAGATCCATCAAATTAAATTATTTATGGTGAATGTTCTCCTTAAGGAGAGCAATCTAATTCTATTTTACACTAAGTTCTAAAAGGAGAAGATGATAATTATAGAAATGGTAAATCCCTGTAAGTTTGTGATGGTGGATCCTCCTTTGATTTTATAGATTCCTAATTATTTAACTATTCTGCTTATAGATTTCTGTTTTTCTTAACCTCTTATAATTGATTAATTTCGTTTTCTAGTAAACCTTATCTACAAACTGGACAATTAGCTTATTTTGTTGTCCTTTAATAGAATATTAGTATACCAATCATATAAACATTGATCGTGAAAATAATGATTGCAAGGAGTTTAACAATATTTCTCTTTTAATTCAAATTAAACTAAACAAACTGAACAAGTATCAGAACTCATTTTAGAATCCACTTTTTTAGTTGGCATATATTTTTTTAATACTTTTCTATCCAAAGCTGGTTTAATTTAAGTAATTTTTTTGTATTATCTTCTATAATGACATAATATTATTAGAAAAAGTAATAGACCAAAAATTACTATAGAAATTAAAAGAATAGTAGCCCAAAATGGAAATTCTTCATTTTAAAAAGAATTTCTATATTTATTATTTATTATATGTACGTAATTGTAATTGTAATTTCTTGAATTTAAGTGGAATTGAAATTATACAATCCAATTATATATATACTATCCTAACTATCTTCTGTTTAAGATAAGGAAATTTGATTTTCATCATTATCAGTATTTAAAACAACAAAATTTTATAGAAATGATGGAAGTCTAGTTACATTAACTTTATTAAATGAAATGATAGAAATACCAAATAAGGATTCTCCATTTTAAACATAAACCTTATAAATAATTATAATATTAATTACTTCATAATTGTTATTATCAAGAATAGTATAAGCATAAAACCAGGTATTATTCAAAATTAGAATTGTTACAGAAAATTCTTTTTAGATTTGTTAAATTGAAAGACTGCAATTCTATCCATAATGAGGGAATTAACAAGGTGATTAAATATGTTATTTCTAAAATTGAAATTAGATTTACAGCTTCATTTAGAGTCAAATTAAAATGCATTGTTTTATTGATGTTTTTTTGATTTTAAAAATACTCTAATAAATTACAACTAACTTTGATAGTGATATTTTCAGTTTAATCAAAATATACTTTCTAAATATTAGCTTTAATTGAATAAGCTAATGAATCATTATAAGTTTAATTATTTATGATGATTTATAGCAATGGTAAACAATAATTATTTATTGGTAATTGAGTAATTATCATGGACACCAAATAAGTTTTGGAACTATTCAAATTTGTTTGTTAAATTTCTAATTGATCAGTTACATACTAAGTATTAAAGTTTGCTAAAACAGCTGATATGCATAATAAAAATATCATTAAAATTAATGTATAGAAATTTATTGAAATTGCGCTATGCATATCAACCATGTATAAATTATTGTCATTATCATTCTAGAAACATCATAATTAACTCCAATCAAGATGACTGTTAGAGAAGCAATAAATCTAGCCATGGATGAAGAACTTGCTAATGATCCAAATGTATTTTTAATTGGTAAATTTTCAAAGTAATCTTTTAGGTGAAGAAGTAGGGCAATTTCAAGGTGCTTATAAAGTTTCTAAAGGACTTTTCTAAAAATATGGAGGTGATAGAATTATTGATACACCAATCACTGAAGCTGGATTTACAGGTATCTCAGTAGGAGCTGCTCTTTATGGATTAAAACCAATAGTTGAATTTATGACATGGAATTTTGCAATGTAAGCAATTGATCACATCATAAATTCAGCAGCCAAAGCACATTATATGAGTGCTGGTGATTAAAAGGCTTCAATAGTTTTTAGAGGAATTAATGGGTAATAAATAAATATTATATTTCAGAGCAACTGCATATGTAGCTGCATAACATTCTTAATGTTTTGCTTCTTGGTATAGTAATGTACCAGGATTGATTGTATTAGCACCTTATGATTGTGATGATGCAAAATCATTATTAAAGGCAGCTGTTCGTAATCCAAATCCTGTTGTATTTTTGGAGAACGAGATATTATATAGTGAATCATATGAATTATCTGCTGAAGCTAGAGATCCAAATTATATTGCTCCAATTGGAAAAGCTAAGATTATGAGAAAAGGTGAACATGTTACAATTGTAGCATTTTCTAAAATGGTTGAATATTCACTTAGAGCTGCTGAATAACTATTTCGTGAAGGCATAAGTTGTGAAGTCATTAATTTAAGAAGTTTAAGACCATTGGATAGAGATACTATTATTGAAAGTGTAAAGAAAACAGGAAGAGTTGTTTGTGTTGAAGAAGGATGGCCATAATCTGGTATTGGAGCTGAAATAGCAGCTCTTATTATGGAAGGAGGAGCTTTTAAATATTTAGATGCTCCTATTTAAAGAGTTACTGGAGTTGAAATACCAACACCATATGCTTTTAATTTAGAAGCCATTACATTTCCAAAAACAGAACAAATTGTTGATGCTGTCTTAAATGTATTAAAAGGGGCTCGTTGATTTATATTTAAATTATAAAAATGGATCAATATACAGTTCTTGGTGAAGGTGCTTAACATATTGTCTATTAATATATTGGCAATGATCCTACGCTTAAAGATAAGGTTATTAGAATTCGTAAACCAAGGGATATTTGTGAGATTTCTAGTAATCTCATTCTACCTTTCAATAATACAGATTGGACTCCTCTCAAAAAGTATTTTGCAAAAAAGCAACCATACTAGATAGGAGATCAATAATGTTAAATTATGGACAATCTATTTTTTAATGTTGTTTTTGCGGTGGAAATCAAACCTAAAACATTTTTACCAATTTTATCTAACAAATAAGAAAATAAAGACTTATGTGATCCTAAGAATCAAAGATTTTTTATGATCTAACTATTAAAGGCTTAAAAGAAATTACAAAAATCTGGTAAAGATATTTATCAATGTACAAAAATGGAAATCGATTAATTAATCTCAAAATATGACCCTAGAAAGTTTTATAATGGTAAGATTGAAAATCTATTTGATGCAATAATTGATTTAGCAGATATTCCTGAGAATAATTTTAGACTCTTTAATAACTAATAAAAACAAGTTTAAAACATTGAAGAATTTAATATTGAAGAAGTAATACATAATAATTAATTTTTAGATAGCATCAATTATAAGTGAAACATTGTTATTAGAGGATCTTATCTAATAACTTAAAGGATTTTTTCATATGTTATAATAAATGAATCTTACAGTTGAAGAAACATATGAAGCTTATGAGAAATTAAAATAAAGAAAATTAACTAATAAATAATTTTAGGAAATTGTAGAAGGAAAATGTTAAGATCCTGAAATATAAAAATTAGCTTTTAAATTGTTAACCTTTTCTTCCTTTTAAGCTTTAAGTGATTTATCAATCATTGGAAGTTTTAGAAAAGAAGGTTCAGGCAAATTTGTTGAGGTTGGAAATTAAAAATTGTTTTATTAATATTCAATAGTTGATTGTGATTTGAAACCATTAAATAAAATTGAAGATTACATGTCAACCATAGATGAATTAATCAAATTGAGAAATTATTATGATTCTCTTAAATGAATTATATTATATATAAAAAATGAAAAAATTGATCCCAGCTATAGTCTCAGATATAGATGGAGTATTAGTAAGAGGGAAGTCTATAATTCCAAATTCAGATATTGTTATTAAGTAATTATTGAATTGTCATTACACAAATGGAGAACGACATAATATTAAGATTCCCTTTTATTTATTGACTAATGGAGGAGGATGTACAGAATTGGATAAAGCTAATTAATTAAATAAAATAATGGGTTCAAATTTTAAAAGACATCATATATTTCTAAATTATACTCCATTAAGACCAATAATGAATGAATATTAGAATAAATTAATTTTAATTTGTGGAGCAGGAAAACTAACAGAAATAGCTAAGGATTGTGATTTAAAATATTATTACACAATCGATGAATATTCTGCAATATATGATTAAGTTACATTTAAATAATATGATGCTGAAATTATTAGATAATATGAGGCTGATATCAAATAAAGACATATGGAATAGATGAAAAATAAGTAAATTGAAGCAGTTTTTATAGTATTTGATCCTATAAAGTGGGAAGAAAGTATTTAGACAATATCTAAGTTGGTTAAAGAGAATAAAGATATACCTATTTATGTAGTTAATAATGATGTTACTTATGCAGATTAATTTAAATTACCAAGATTAGCATTTGGAACATTCACTAATGCACTAATTTCTATTTTAAAGAAAGAATATAATATAAATCCAAATATCATTTATTATGGTAAACCATCTCTTAATACATACAAATATGTATAAACATATATACATGAAAAACATGAAAATATTGGTAATATATATATGATTGGTGATAATCCTACAAGTGATATAAGAGGAGCCAATTTAATTGGATGGCCATCATTTTTAGTAAGGACTGGTGTGTTCAGAGGTGGTGAGAATGATCCAAAAGATCCTGGGAAATATGTTGTGAAAGATTTAATGGATGCTTACAATAAGATATTACAATTAGAAGGATTAAAAGTTGTTTAATGATGTTTTAACTATATAAATTTAAAAATGGGTGCTAATTCTTCATAAAGTGAAAAATTTGTATAAGAGTTCTAAAGACAATGCGTTAAAGTGAGAGAATTAAAAGACTTGCGTTTTGGAGATGTTTAGATATTTCGAACACAATAGAATACTTTCATTATGGTCAAAAGCATCTGGTGCAATAATTCATAAGAATATGATGCATCAATTAGTAATATCAAATTGATTAATTTAGGTAATTGTGAAAAGAGATCTAAGATTCAGCATTAAAATCTGGTCAAACTCTTAGGTTATCATTCAAATTCATAAAATTAATGGTGTGGAGATTTTTCAAAAATTACTGTATATTTGGAATTCTTTGATTACACTTTAGAAAAGTCTATTGATACAAGGAGACAAACCAATTAATACTTTACAGAAGCTGAACTATGGAAGATGCTATTTACTATTGCTAAATTGGGAATCTATCTTGAAGAATAAAATAAAGTACTTGGAGATATAAGACCTTGCAATATTTAATTATCAGATGATTTGAAAATGGCTGTAAGAATTATACATAACTCTTTATAGGAATTAGGCATATTAAAACCAGATCAAACAGGTTATTAAAGATAAATAAATAATTAAGAAGTAGCATATTTAAGTCCAGAACAGTTATATTCACTTAATAATCCTTCAATTACAGCTAAATCAGATGTCTATTCTTTAGGTGTTACAATGTTAGAATGCTCTACTCTAATGAGTGGAAAGAATTTATATAAATCAAATAGAATTGACGGCAATCTTCTTTAACAATTATTAGAAACTGTCAAATAACTAGGATATTCAAATCCATGGTATAGAATGGTTAGAGAATTATTAAAAGAGTAGCCTGATGAAAGGCCTTCTTATTAAGATATTTATGTAATTTTTCAATCTTTATAATCAGGATGCCCTCAAATAATTTGAAGTTCAGATCCTTAATTTATAGCCTTTTTAACTTGTATATTAACAACCTCAAATACCTTAACAATCTATATCACCATATAGACCATAACATTAACAATATTCATAATCATTACCACCTCCACATTAACAATAATAGGCCTAAAATTAAATACCAATATAATATTAATAATTTTAATAATAATAATAACCATAATTATAATAATAAATAGTTTAACCATAATAAATACAGTCTTTACCTTAATAGCCACCTTATTAGTATCAATAATAAGTGCTTCCATCACAATAACCAATTTTAGCATCTTAATTACCTTAATAATAGACATAATAATAACCTATGCCTATACCATAAAATTAATTTCCTCCATAATAATCTTATATGTATTAATATCAATAGCAACCTTATTTAAATGAATTAGCAAATGCTTAATCAAATTATTTTGTTTAATAACCTGTTCATCATTTACCATAACAAATAGAGTAGTCCCCATATCACACACTACAGTCCCCTTAAAATATGACATCAACTATGTATTATCAAGAAGAAGAATAAGATGATGGATTAAATGAAATTGACAGAAAGATTCAATAAGCATTGAAAATGACTAGGGATACTGAAATGAGAAATAAATAAACACCGAATTACTATTGACATAAAAATTACAATATAATCAATAATTAGTTGTATAAATTTGTTTTATCCCTTCTATTTCTAGTTTCTCAAATTTAATTTAAATCAAAAAATAATTTAATAAATTCAATTGTTATTCTGTGAAATATCAGTTTGAACCCTAAATAATTTAAATAGAGAAAAATAATATGAAAACCAGAATGTCATATGAAAAATGAGACAATTTTATGAACTTATAAAAGATTAACAAATATAATTACATATTTTTCAGATTGATTAATGAAGATTGATATAAAAAATGTCAAGAATTAAATTTAGTAAATTTTTGGGAGATCATTCAAATTCTTATCGTACTTGCTCCAATTTGATATTAAAATTAGTTGATTATTTAAAAAATCATTGTTTTATAGCATATGCTATAAATTTATTTATAAATATTCCTATTGTTGCATAGTTTGACAACTCTTATTCTTTCTGTAGATGAGAAACAATCATATAAAAGATAGGTTGAATAGCTGAAAATATTATTTTTATAAAATTTATTGATCTAATGAATGCTTGCGTCATAATGAAAGATAATACCTCATTCTTAATCATAAACATTTGACTCTATGGTTCAAAAAAATAAATATATAATGAGCTATTCTACCATAGATGAGAGATTGATGGATTCACCAAAAAGAACAGAAAGCACAGATATCTAATCAGACAGTTAAATGTTAAAGAAGGGATTTAATCCGTCATTCCTAGGAATTTAATAAACATCAAAAATCACTGTACTTAATTAAGCTATTACAAGGTCTCTAGAAGATATCTCGATACTAAAACACATGGAGTTTAATTATATTATTAGGAATTTACTCCTTAATTTGTAGATGCTCAAGTAATTATTGTTCATGGATTTGGTGAGCATTCTGGAAATTATCAATAAGTAAATTCAAATTTTATTCATTCTAGTTGACAGATTGTTTTCTACTCAATAATTTTAAAGTTTATCTCTATGATCAAAGAGGATTCGGTTATTCTGGAGGTATAAGAGGCTAAGCTACTGTTGAATAAATGCATATGGATTTAGACACCGTTTTATAATTAGTAGATAGATCAATTCCTTTATTTATATTTTGCCATGCTCTTGGTGCTTCTATGGTTATCAGTTTCTGTTTAATGAATCCCTCATTTCAATTTTAAGGACTTATTTGTAGTAGTGCTTAATTAAGAGTACCAGCCAAATATGGAAAAATTAAGATGCTCACTCTTAAGCTTATGACAAAACTATGTCCTGAACTTTAAGTAAATACATACTAAAATTTATCATATGCTTCAAAAAATAATCATCATATTAAAAAACTTGCTACTGATCACCTTATGCATCCTTATATGAGTATCTAATTTGCATATAATGTACTTCTATTTCAGCAATTTATTTTGCCAAATGCAACTAAATTCAAAATCCCTATCTTATTATTGCATGGAAAAGAAGACAAGGTTGCATCTCATTTAGATTCCCTTGATTTTTATAGACTCATCTAATCCAAAGAAAAAACCCTCAAAATATTTGAAAACGGATTTCATGAATTACATAATGATTCTGAATGGTCTAAAATGAAAATAATCATCACTTAATGGTGTACAAAAATGTTAAGCAAAGATATTAAAATATCCTTTATGAGGGAACACAATTATGGAGTGATTGTTAAATAATACAGAAGCAAAATTAGAATTATTATTACGATACTTCTAGTTTTATTCAGAAAGTAATTGATTTTATAAATTCTATTAGAAAATACGCATGTTTAAAAGCAAGTACTAAAGTTAGCATAATAATATTTATAGAGTTACTTCTAAGAGTGTTCATTTCTAATTGAATATTTGTTAAGTTTATANCTATGGTTCAAAAAAATAAATATATAATGAGCTATTCTACCATAGATGAGAGATTGATGGATTCACCAAAAAGAACAGAAAGCACAGATATCTAATCAGACAGTTAAATGTTAAAGAAGGGATTTAATCCGTCATTCCTAGGAATTTAATAAACATCAAAAATCACTGTACTTAATTAAGCTATTACAAGGTCTCTAGAAGATATCTCGATACTAAAACACATGGAGTTTAATTATATTATTAGGAATTTACTCCTTAATTTGTAGATGCTCAAGTAATTATTGTTCATGGATTTGGTGAGCATTCTGGAAATTATCAATAAGTAAATTCAAATTTTATTCATTCTAGTTGACAGATTGTTTTCTACTCAATAATTTTAAAGTTTATCTCTATGATCAAAGAGGATTCGGTTATTCTGGAGGTATAAGAGGCTAAGCTACTGTTGAATAAATGCATATGGATTTAGACACCGTTTTATAATTAGTAGATAGATCAATTCCTTTATTTATATTTTGCCATGCTCTTGGTGCTTCTATGGTTATCAGTTTCTGTTTAATGAATCCCTCATTTCAATTTTAAGGACTTATTTGTAGTAGTGCTTAATTAAGAGTACCAGCCAAATATGGAAAAATTAAGATGCTCACTCTTAAGCTTATGACAAAACTATGTCCTGAACTTTAAGTAAATACATACTAAAATTTATCATATGCTTCAAAAAATAATCATCATATTAAAAAACTTGCTACTGATCACCTTATGCATCCTTATATGAGTATCTAATTTGCATATAATGTACTTCTATTTCAGCAATTTATTTTGCCAAATGCAACTAAATTCAAAATCCCTATCTTATTATTGCATGGAAAAGAAGACAAGGTTGCATCTCATTTAGATTCCCTTGATTTTTATAGACTCATCTAATCCAAAGAAAAAACCCTCAAAATATTTGAAAACGGATTTCATGAATTACATAATGATTCTGAATGGTCTAAAATGAAAATAATCATCACTTAATGGTGTACAAAAATGTTAAGCAAAGATATTAAAATATCCTTTATGAGGGAACACAATTATGGAGTGATTGTTAAATAATACAGAAGCAAAATTAGAATTATTATTACGATACTTCTAGTTTTATTCAGAAAGTAATTGATTTTATAAATTCTATTAGAAAATACGCATGTTTAAAAGCAAGTACTAAAGTTAGCATAATAATATTTATAGAGTTACTTCTAAGAGTGTTCATTTCTAATTGAATATTTGTTAAGTTTATATATACTAATTAATATATTATGAAAAATATCAAAAATAACAGATAAAATTTTATAGATTTGATAATCCATCTTCTTGATTTAGAGGAACAAATAGAAAGAACAAAAATTCATATGACTTCAAATGAATATTTTACTCTTTACAGAGCTTTCTAAATAATTGATGAATAAAATACAAATTAAATAACACAAGAAGCAATTTCAAAATTAATATCTAAACCTACTGAACAATGTGCATTGTTAACGGATTATTACTCTGAATTTAAAGATAATAAGTTATAATTTGCTAATTTCATGAATTTATGTTTGCCTAGAAGTAAACCTTAATTAAGAGCATAATTGACATAAAAACTATAAAAAAATATAGGTTCACCAGAAGAATAAGAATTAATTAAAGAACATTTATCTATACTGATAGCTAATGAAATTCATTTTTTATAATAGATTAAGCAATACCCAATAGAAATAGAGGGTTTATTAGATTATCCATTTAAACAGAAAGATTTAAATTAATTAGTAAGTGATTTTGGATATAAAATAAATATAGAAGCAATTTGGAGAAGATTGGATTTTGATTAGAATGGAGTAGTTACTTATGAGGACATGAAGAAATTATTTAGAGAGTAAGATTAAATTAATGATGTTGATGAATAAGAAATTGAGAAGGAGAAATTAAGAAATAAGGATATAAAATTAGGATGGATAAATAATAAAGCATGTCCATATCATTCATATTCAAAATAATTGAGAAAGAGAATTCAAAATTTTTAAGAATTTGAGAAATAAAAAAGTATTTTGAGGTATGAATATATAAATAAGTTTAGATAAAATGAATGGAAATAAATTAGAAATTTTTTATATTTGATTAAAGAACACAGTTAAATTTATTTTTAGATAGATTAATTGTTGGAGAAGTTAAATAAATTTGATAGTTTAAAGTTATTTGAATTGTTGAGTATTAATAATAGAATAGAATTTTAACATTTTTAAAACAAAATATAAGAGATTGTTGGATAAGAATTCTAATTAGATTATTCAGATGTAGAGTAATTAATGATATTTTTTGGTGGTTAAAGTTATGAAGAATTCAAAAAGTCTTTAGAATGTAGTAGGATATTAGAGAGAAAGCAACCTATCAATATGAATGTTTTAAAGATGTTATTTATAAAATTGATTTTGTTATTGCAATTAAGTAGATATTTGAAATAATAATACAAAAAGAAAGCTTTGATTTAGAATAAGGACTTGTTAAATGAATTTGGGGAATTCTCTTAGTCAAATGTTTTGTTGATGGCAAGAAAAGCTGAGGTAGAATTAAGTTTGGAAGAAGTTAATGGTTTTTTTAAAGGTTAAGAGGTTTTGGAAGTTAGGAATGTTATGAGTTTTTTGAAATGATTTATTATATATAAAAATTATGGAAGAAATTGTTAATGGTGAGGATGATGTCGAGCCGTAATTTACATTTATTACACATACCCGAACAATATAATATCGTATTTCAGTGATGAAGAAACGAATTGAGATAGCTTCTATTAATAGCCTAGATTAAATTTAAGTTCCATTAAGCATAGATTAAATTATCTATTGGCTATATGATGAAGGTCGAGAAATAGCTTTTGGATTAAGATAGGGAGATCTTATTAATTATTACTATGGAGATGAGAGTGAGTTATCACATTTTCGTATATTGATTGGGTGCAAAATTTCATTTGGAACATTTAAATAAGATTATTTGGTTGGTGACTTATTGGGAAAAGGCACATTTTCAGAAGTATGAGTTCTTCTATGACCAGGTAATAAAGGTGACTTCTTTGAGGGATGGCAAAGAGTATGCATTAAAGAAAATCAAATTACGTAACGAGGCTCATTTAAAGAATATTGAAATTGAAGTAGCTATATTGCATAGGTTAAATCATGAAGGCATTATCAAATTATATGATGTATATAGATTAAATGAAGAAACATATGGATTAATTACTGAATTAGTCATAGGACAATCTCTGGACTCAATTATTAATAAACAAAAAGTAAGGTTTTAAATAAATGGTTAGTAAAAAAAGAGCAAGTTGGAAGAACGAGACATTTAAATGATTCTTAAATAAACTCTTTAAATCATAGATTATTTACATTAGAATAATATAATCCATAGAGATATTAAACCTTAACATATGATTTTATGCTAAAATAAAACGATTAAGATATTAGATTTTGGTTTAAGTTCAAATGAGAGTTAACTATCTTGTAATTGTGGTACTCCTGGTTATTTACCACCTGAATCATTTCGAGAACAATCATTATATACATCTAAAGGAGACATATTCAGTTTAGGAGTTGTTTTTTATAAGTTATTGAATAGAGGAGTTAGTTGTTTTGATGCAAATACACTCGAATCAGTAATGAGTAAAAATAGACGTTGCACAATTGAATATCAAATCAATGGATATTCACCTTAAGCTCTGGTACATTTTTGAAATGAATTCTAAGCATTTGCTCAAATAAATGCTTCAAAAAGATCCAGTCTTAAGAATCAATTCATACGATGCGCTGAATCATACTTATTTTACTGTCCTCCGAGAATCCCAGAATCTAAAAGAAGATAAAGGGAATATTTATGTTTACTAAGCTCATCCTAGGCCATCCCATTTATCTAGGACAAACAGTGGTGAGTTAGATAAAACTTCAAAATGATTGTAAATTATTATTAAATATATGTTCATGATATTTTCAATGCATCAATTAGGTTAAGTTCATTTCTTTTTTGTGTTCTGGAGAAAGTCAGGAGTATCAGGTTGTAAGTTAATTTTAAAATTGATTGAATTTGAATGAGTTTATGAGCGACAGATATTTAAAGACTCAGGTTAATGAATTAATGTACTATTGGATTATTTACTTGCAGCACACCCCATTTAGTTATTTTTAAAGATTAATTAAACAATAAATCTTAATGAAGACAATTTATTAAATAATAAGTTGTATTTATATTATTTGAGTATATTTCTATAGATAAATATAAAATTATTATAATGTTAGCATAAACAATAATAATAGATAATTAAATTATATTATTTAATCAATATTTATTGTTCAGAAAAACACAATAAAATTTCAAAACAATTTGAATACATTGAATGATAAAGTAATAAAAATAAATTCTAATTTTAAACTACATCACCATAATTTTTTGGTAGAAAAATTTTTGGAAGAACTATTTAGGTGCCAAATTTAAGTATAGAGTAATGATACTAATACTATAAATTAAAAGGAATTATAGATATATTTAGTAAAGGTTTTAATCATTAAATAATTGCAATAATTTTAATAAATTAAAGAACTATTTTCTCATCAACAATTATAATAAGAAAACCTTTATTAAATTCATAGTGATGAATATGATAAAGAAGTTTTTTGGTTATAAATTGATGAATTAAAAGTATCTTACTTTAAGAGACAATAAATTAAAACACCTATGAATATAAAATATATATGTAAATCTAACTTAAATATGTCCAGAGATATAATAAACTAATTAACCTTGTTTTTAGTTTTCAATTTCCTATTATGTAAATATTATATAAATATATTAATCAATATTAAATTACTGTATCAATTTATTTATTAATGATTATTAAAATCAATAAGATGTAGTTTAATATATAATAATATTAAAAGATGTCAAAAAAGAGTGCAAATTATTAATTTACATCAAAATATAGTGATTTAAGAGAATATAATAAATTATTCAGAAAAAAGTGAAATTAAAAGTTGAATTACCTGTTTATCAGAAAAGAAAGATCATATCTCTTTTCATATTAGATTGGTTGGATAAGCTGTAAAAAATAATATCTTGTTTGATATATTTGCAATTATAGAGTTAGTTTAAAGTCATCCTTTGCAATAATTTATTATAATAATAACATTTGAAAGTATATACCATTTTAGTAGATCTAATTCAATAAAAATAATAAATTTATATCAGTTCAATTTTATATAAGAAATTTGCCAAAAAGAAATATCATATTTTGAAGTTAATTTATTCTAAGATGTTTATTACTTTTTTTAGAATTTTATTTTAATAAATATTTATTTGTATATTTTACAGAATGGGTTGTATAATTTAAAAATAGACCAGATAATAAGGGATTAAATAGTATGATCCAAAACTATAGCAAATTGTAACTGTTCCAATTTTATATGATGCTAAGACTAATCCTATAGTTAAAAGGAGATTACAATAAGATGGTCAATCATAATCAGAATAGAACAGAACACCAACAAGATTTTGAATAAAATATGATGTACTAAAAATAATTATTTCAGACTCTTAATTATTATTTTACTAAATCCCATAATCTTGGATAATCCTTTTTTCCTCTCTTAACTTCAAAATCTATAACTGCACTCATAGCTCTGTATCTTTCTAATAAAGGATGGGTTTTTTCTTCATATTCTTTCATTCTTTATTCAATAACCTAAAGATTAATTTAATTATTATACTTCTTTCTTATCATCATCTCTAATCACTAATTTACCACCACAAGCATCACAAATTCCTTCCTTCTTTGGATTTAATGGTTCCATAACATATCCATCTCTATTAATATCACAAATATTAAAAGCAGTTCCACAACCAACACATGTACGACGACTTAAATATTTTTATTAAATAATACGCAGCTAATTTTTCAAGTAAAATATCTGCTCTTAAAGTTACATTAACAACAACATTTGTTGGTAAAATCTTTTCATATAAGTCTAATTATCTTAATGTTCTTGGAAATCCATCTAAAATAACTCCCTTTGCAGATTCTGGTTCCTTTAATTTTTCTTATAAGATATTCATCACAATTTCATCTGACACAAGACCACCCTTTGCTACAATATCCTTAATTGTAGCAATTAATTTTGGATCAAATGATTAAGATGTATTGCCTTTTAAAATCTTACGAATTTCATCTCCTGTTGATATATGGTTAAATTTAGTATCCTTGATCAATAATTTTGCAAATGTTCCTTTACCAACCTAATTTCATATTAATTAACATTATTACTCCAGGGGCACCAAATAAAACAAGGAATTATTATCCTGGTTTTGCAACACTAGCTGCATATCTTATTATGAGATTTTTCATATCCAATATAAATTTATTTAATGAAATAATCACTCTTTGCTTAGCGTATGAAGTTAAAAAAAGATATCCAAAAACCAGATGAAAACCTCTCATTTCCTTAAACATTCAAAGTTGATATTCCACCATAACCTAATCGTGCCTAATTTCATGGTTTAAGTGAAAAAGATTATTAATAAATTGATGAAGAAAATCTTAAAGCAATCAAAGAAATGAATTAAGAATAAGTTATGGAATTACAAAAATAAATTAGAGAATCTTTAGGTGATAATTTATGTAAAATGTTTGAAACTGGAGACATATACTAAATTAAACAATAAAAACAAATGCAACTAGAAATTAACTAAACCATTACTAAAAATACAGAAGTTTTTAGTAAACTTATTGATGAAGATTAAATTACAATCTCTTAAATTCAAGAATTAATTAAATCATCAGAAATGAGTAGTGTTAAATTGGCACTTTAAAAAATTGATAAAGTTATTAAACCATAAAATGTTCTTTAATTAGAATCTATAAATATAAGTGATTACCTTATCTCTGTTGGAAAATCAACTAATATTTCAGTATCCCTATTTTCATTTGATTTGCTTTATACATATTGGACATAGATAGTTCCTAATTGTTGGAATCCAATATATAATCTTAAAGAAACTAAAGAAATTGAAGATCTCTATATTGATCTACCTTAAATGATTAATTAATTATAGCATCATATTCATTATACCAAAGCATTAGACCTTTTAAGAATAAGAAACATTCTATCCTAATCCAATTCTAAATATATAATAGAACAATAATCAATTGTAAACATCGAATGCAAAATTAAATCTATTATTTTACTTTAATAATTTGAAGAACTGTAAAAAATTGATTTCATTTCTTAAGAATTTTCAGATTTTTTACTATCAATTATTTTCTATTATTTCAATTATCTACTTGATTCTTAATGTAATATAATTATTAGTGAATTATCAAAATTATAGAATTCAAACTTAAAATTGGCCATATTCTATCAATATTAATAAAGATTTAGTTGCAAATTAATACATGAACCTTTAATATTAAATATCAAGAAACCAGAAATTAATCAAGATATCTAAATTTATGAAATAGTTCCATTTTAATCTGTCCTTGCAACATTATTTGATTCATTTAATTTAGCTATATTTTCTGGTCAAGATGTTATAACTTGTCTTAAATAAATTGTTTCATTGATTTTTGATATTAGATATTTAGCAAAATCTATTATTTCAAGAAAGTAAAGAAAAATACATAAATGGAGATTATTGAACATCTTAAGAAATATCTTTTAAGATCAATTTAAAAATGAAGCCAATAAAAGAACATCAATAAAAGAAAATAATGAAAAATATTAATTATTAGAATTAATTAGATAATAATTAAAAATTGAATTTCATTTAAGAGATGAAAAAGAATTAGTCTTTGAGGCAAGTTTATATTCAGGACTCTCCTAATTTCTAAGTTAACATGAATATCAATTAGAAGTTGTTTAATAATATATTGATTGCTTTAATGATATTGATTTTGAAATAAAATCTGAATTCGTACTGTTAAAACTATACAAATTATTAATATCTAATATGGAATTACCTAAAGGATTAATAAATTTATACAAATATTTATTGAATAAAATAAATATCAAAGAATTAGCTGTCCTATTAAATAAAAATGTTTCTTATTTTGAAAAATTACTCTAAAAATGTTAATATGATTCATATTATAATGAAACATATGTGAATGTCTTATTTTTGTTTATTAGCCCTCATTTTAATCCAGATTTTCACAATTTATTATTTTAAGAATTCTAATGCTCACCTATTTTGCAATATTTATCATCAGAAATATATATGAAACATTTAAATTACTTTACTATTAAACCAAATAAAGGATTAGAAATTTATAGATAAAATGTCTTAGATGTAAGCAGTTAAAATGAATTTATATAAAAATGGCAAGCAGAAATAAGTCAATGGTGATGATATTTATATAAATGAAAATATATATAGGATTTCAAATCAAAATTTTATTCGACATAAAATAATTAAGATTTAATTATAAAAAATATTAATAATTTATTTATTTTAATCCAATTTAAAACTCAAAATATTTTGTTAAGATACTTACATCTTCATTTTTATTAGATACTTCTTCATAATTCCATATGTTTAATCTGTAGAAAAATAAACAAATCAGATAACATTTATTAATAATTAATTTTAATGTTTTCTACATTTTATTAATTCAAATATCTTATAAGAATTATGAAAGAATTAAAAATAAATGAAAAATTGCATAATATTGAATTAAAGTCATGAAAAGCAGTCAAGGAATATATCACTTTCATTATTAGGTTCCTAATATTTATCATAATTTTATAGTTACCTCTTAAAATACATATATATTTCTCTCACTTATATATTAATAGTTTTTGCTTATAATTTCATGTACAAAATATTACTCATCCTAATATAATGAATTGATATTACATCATCATTTCCTACCCAATCTTATCCTCTCCACACATATACTTGTAAGACTGATTTATTTATTTCTTTTATTAAAATGAATAATTGAGATTAATCCAAATCTTCTAAATCGAACATCAATAGATAATCATCTGAATTTGGATATATATAAAATGCCTTTTTTTCAACATGAGTTTCCTCAACTCTGTCTGAACTATATAATTAAATATTTGATTCTTTTTCTTTATTAAATTCATTCTCATCAACTTCTTCATACCATTAATCCCATTCTCTTATTTTTTAACAAATAATCCCAGGTTTACCAACTATTCCCCATAAACCCCAAAACATTTCTGATTCATTTTCAGCTTCCATCAATATAGGTTATATATTAGGGGCTTTTTCAAATTATTTCAAAAATTTAGTATAATCAAGAGCATATTGAATAAATCTATTTATAAATTATGAAATACTTTTCAGCTTTATTGCATTCAGGACCAATCCATAAATATAAATCATGTTCTGAAAGTACTAGAAAAACTCCTCTACTATCAAATGTTCTTAAAACCTTACCAGAATATAATTAATCCATCAACATTCTACATACAATACTTTAAGGTCCACTAACTCCTCTTCCTACTGCAAATACTCTAGGAGCAATAGGTATACTATCATATGAGGCTTGTAATCTCTTTTAAAATAATAACAATTAGACTGTAAATCCCATATTAGGAGATGCTACTCCTCTATTTTTCTTAATAATATCGAATGCTTGAGAATAAGTAATTTATTAAGATATTATTAAATAAGCTATACATAATGACACAGATCTTGATACTCCTTAAACACAATGAATCAATACTTTTCCATTACTCTTTTTTGCCTTTTCAATGATACCAATAACTTCATAGAATATACATTCAATATTTTCTGTTTTTGAATCTTTGAGATAATATGTCTAATAAAAGAAATCATCAGGATATTTATTCTTACATACATCTCCTGCACAATTTACTACATGAGTGACTCCAATTTATTTTAAGACTTCTTTATTGTATGCTATTTATTCACCTCCAACATAAAGAAAATTAGGTATTACAGATGAGCATTATTCTGCAAAATGTTAAATTTTAAGCTTTTTCCTATCTGTATCTCTGATATCAAAATTAAATCCATTTGAATCCTCTTCCTCAATATCTTAATATGTAGTATCATCTCGTTATAATTTTAAACTTGCTAGAGGTAATTTCATAGGTTTGATTTTTTCATTTTCATTATACTCAACACCTTCAACTAATGGAACTCCTATACTGACTTCTTGAGAATGAGTTTTGCAATTTAAATCTAATTTAGGAATATTAAGAGCAGGAACTTTGCTTTTTATTTATGCAGGTAAATTAAATTAAAATGCATTATTATTAGTAATTGGTAATTATTATGGACTAATATCTTCATATCTATTATTTTCTCTTGAACGACTAGAAATTGGTTTTGAACCTTCTTTAGAAATAGGAGGAGATCCTTCATCTGATATCTCATGTATATTATTTTTAATTTCATTTGAATTTCTTCTAGGAAATGCTAATTCTTTAAATACATCTCTGGGTTAGGCATCTCTACTAGTCAAAGATTCTCTTAAATTTAATTTAGGCTTTTAAATAACTTTATTAGTGTTTGAATTTTAAATTTGTTCATCATTTAAATCTACTTAAATAAATTATTAAGCATATGCCTATGTATTTTATTTTTTTGCTAAAAAATCTGCTAATTTAGAGAATTCTTTTTTCTTTTCAGGGACTGGAAACAAAAAATTAAATAAATATACAGTTTCTCTAACTTAATTTTCAGTTTCAATATTTGTAGTAGATGATGTTTAGGCACTACTCTATAATGTCAATATTGATCCTTTAGATAACTTTTTATTTTTAATAATGCCACCACTAAAGAGTATTTCAAGTAAAGGATCCCTTCCTCTATTTAACAGATTTTCTAATTCAAAAGCATTAGATAAGGCTGATGCTTTAATTAAAGGATTTGCTGTTTTGCCATTCCATACAAAAATCATATACTCATAAATATTTGATGTTGATGGATTTTATTATCTTTAGGGTAGCAAAAATGATTCTAGATGACTTTCTGATGCTGCCACTGGTTCTTCTAAACCTCTAGGAGTTAAATTAGAATAAGATTCAACAACACCCCACATTTAATGAGGAAAATTTGTAAATTGATTGTACTCTATATTAATTAAACATTATTATACCTTCTTAAGCCTTTTTGTATACCAACAATACGAGATAGCATTCAGTTGATAGAAAATTAAAACCGCTAGTTTAGATGGTACTTAAATTAATTGGTTCAGATCTAACTTTCTTTAAAGGGTGCTTTTCCTCTTAAAATTTCCAAATCTGATAATTTTGAAAATAAACATACTTTTAAGTGTTAAGTTATGCTTTCAGGAATGTTACTATCGAATTTAATCTTCTCTAATAATTTTGTATTAAGTTCCAAAATGTCTTCCAAATTTGAAACATGCTTATCTATACTCAATTTAGATCCCATAATTTATATATATATAATTAATATAATTTTTTAGAATAATATTTTCAAATATCATTCACACTAAAAATAGATAATCTAACAGTAGAGTCTCATTATATTCAAATATTAATTTCTCTAAATAAATTTAATTTTTAAAGGATTACTATTATAATGTTGTAGGTGCATTGAAAGTAACTTCATTTGATATAGAACAGATGGAATAATGAAGATTAATTAATAAGGCAACTAAAGTGTACAAGACTAATTATTATATATATTATAATGGATTTAATAATATGTACATAAATTATAAGAAGCTGAAACCCAAAATTTCAATCTAAATTGTATATGTCACGTAAATAAATAATTGACTCATAACTGAAATTTTTTGAATATTATCCCATATTGTTAGTTATAATCATAAAGAATTATATATCAATTTTATATTTTAATAAGAATTAGTTGTTATTAATTAAATTACGAATAATTTTTCTGTATCAATTGGAATTAGACTTCACTATTATAAGTATTATAAATTGAGATAATTTCGAACTTTCTAAAATTTCAAATGTCTTAAAAATTAGGAATGAATATTAAAGAAAGTGTATTATAAAATAAAAGAAAATTTGATTTGCATTTAAGTATTTAAGTATTTAAGTATTTAAGTTGATAAATAAAAAATAATAAGATAATCAATAAACAAATCATTTTGTTGTTTATATTATAAAATTCTAATAGTCAATACTTTATATTTTAATTTCTAAAAGGGTTTTTTAGAGTTGGAAAGCTTAATGATTTTACATAATTTTCTATTGGATGAGAGATTTCAGATTTCTTTCTGAAAAACTAATGTTTCAGACAAAGAGAAGCTGAAGGTCGATGCTTCTTGTGTCCAATCATCAAAAGTAGAAGCTATCTTTATTCAGTATCAATAATCTTTGAAGATACTTTAAATTTATTTAACTTGTTTAAAAATATTAAATGATTCTTATCCTTATATTCCGGATATAATTTTTATCCAGATAATAAACAATGAAACACACTTCCTAAACTATAAATATCAACTAATTCATCATAATCTTCTTAATTTAAAATTTCAGGAGCCATATATCCAGGTGTACCACATCTTATTAAATTTTAATAACCAAATTCAACAGCAAATCCAAAATCGATTATTTTAATAGATTTGATATCATTTTCATTTTCAAAAACGATATTGTCTAATTTTAGATCTCTATGAATAATTCCTAATTTATGTAAATGTTTCACTCCTTTTAATAGTCTTTTCATGATACATTTTATCTCTGATTATTCAAATTAATAATTTCTTTCTAATATATAATTATATAGAGTTCCTCCTTTACAATATTTCATTATAAATATGATTTCATTTTATTCCTTATAAATTTCATCAATTTCGAGAATACTTTTATGTTTTTATTGATTTAATTCATAAACAATATTAATCTCCTGTTGAAGTTTCAGCTAAAATAAATTTAAAAAGAATACTTATTAATTCATCTTTATATTCACTTTTTTTACTAATTTAAGTTCACCTGTAGCTATTTGAACATATTTTAATATCTAATCAATAAATTTCTAAAAATAGTACCTCAACATCTTCTTTTGATAATAAGGAACTAACAAACAAATAATCATTATTAAAGTCTGCGTACAAAACTTTACAATCAAGTAAATTCTTTAATTACTTCATTTTTTATGCCTCACCTCTATAAGTTAAAGACTTTTAAGCATTTGCAAATCGACAATAATATGTAACTTTGAAACCTAAAATTGCTTTTTCACTATTCTTTATGTTATATAAAATACTTAAATATCCAAGCTATTGTAGTTGATATAGAACTAAGGTCAATTGATCTATCTCTCTTTTCCTAAACAGCATCATTGGTGGTCTAATCTTATTATGTGCTGCTGATCACTATTCTTTTGTTGTACAAATATAGAGTTCGTGAAAAATTATTTTTTGTGTTGTTTACATCGCAAGTATATAATATATCTCGATTCATTCTTATTTAAAAATATAATTAAAACAATTAAGAAAACCTAATTGGTTGAAAAATCCTAATTAAATCTTTTAGATATCCATATTAGTGTTAATTTTTATTAAGAAAAAGTAAAATTTTACATAAATTGTATATATCCATTTTGGATTAAAATGTTTTTCACACTCTTCTAAATTTATATAATCTAATTGCTATTAATTAGTTAATTACTTTTATAATCATTTTTTTGAGATTAAAATTGCTTGTAACTTAATGTTTTTCTATATATGTAAAATTTTAAAATTTGTCTATTTTTTTTACATTATTTTAGAATTTAGCTAAACAAAAAATGCTGAATATACAAAAGAAGGATATGTAATACTACTTTTATTCTGTAACAGAGGGAAATTATTATTGAGATGAAAATTTAAAAGGTATAATTTTTTCATATATATTTCAAAATTTATTATAATTTATTAATATATATTACAATATATTAAGAAATTAAAAATTAAAAAAAAGTTAAAATTATAATAATATTCACATTGATGTAAATTATCTCTTTTTAAAACTAGTAATAACCTTAAAAAAGTAGAAAAGTAACTGATAACATCATTTCATGGACATTTAAGATTGTTCTAAAATAGTAAATATAAGTATTTCAAAAACTCTAAATTTCAACCAAATTAATGAAAATTAATCAGATTAAAACATAATTATTTAAATATTCAATTTAATCAGCTCAATTTAAACTAGATCCTTTTCCTTTTTTTGAGTCAATTAAAAAATATTTTAACTTTTTAAGTAGTTTAATATAAATAAATAAAATATATAATAAATTAATAATAATTATATTAAAATATTATATAGTCTTTAAAAATATATCTAATACAATAAAACACTTTTTAAAGTTGACTTTCTTTTGAAATATTTATTAAATTTTAATTTAGAACATTAAATAGTAATTTTTTTTTTATATAATACATAAATTTATATTATTAAATAATTGAAATTAAAAAAAGAAAAATTACCATATAACAATTAATATATTATATAAGCAAATAGAACAATAGATAATACTGTAAATTTAAGAATAAAATTAATGGGGAGTTAATGAATAAAAACAAATTTCTATACATTAAATCAATCAGTCATCTCTGATTAACTTTTTTGCAATAGACACAATCTCTTGTCTTATAGATTTATTATAAATTTTAGGATATTTAGTATTAGTACTGATATCAGATGGATTTAAATTTGTGTGAAATAATTTATTGTAAATGTTATCTTACATGGCTTTTCTGATTGAAATAGAGGGGATAGGTTCATGTGATGATTTAATAGTACTTCGAAAATCTTTGCCATTTAATTCTTCTTTATCAAATTTTCTTGATACATCTCCCAACACTTCAAAACCTTCAATATAAACATCTGTATAATATTAAGGTTCTGATGGTTTTGGATTAACAGTAGTGAGAAATCCTCTGTCTGTCTTCCATTTGTCTTTGGAATGTGTTTTCCATGTTGGAAAATAAACCATAGTCATATCTTTGGCAGCATCGTCTATTATACTTTTATTATATTAATTAGCTTGATCAGCTTGATCTTTTCTTAATTTAGGTTTGTGTTCACTTGTCCATTGAGGACCTTCCAATGATTGAACTCTTTCTCTTAATTTAATTTTAGGACCTTCAGTGTATAATTCTCTAGGCAAATGTGATTGTGAGAAATCATCAACAATATGTTAGATTCTTTAGTTATTGGTTAGAAATCTATATAGAATAAGGAGTAAAACTTGGATAAAGTAATGGGTTTTGTAGTTTCTCTTGGTAATTTTGGAGTAGGATAAAGTCCATTAAGCAAACCTTGAATAGAGATGAGAAATAATACAATTGGCAAAGACAGGGTCGAGAGATTGAATAAAGTGTTGTCGACGATCATTAAAAGAGTTGTTGAGTATGGTATTTTGTTTTTTTGTTGATTTTGGGTTTGAGAGTGAGACAGTTCTTTTCTTTTGTTGGAAGTAATTATTCATGAAAATAAAATAAAAATGCCTTAAGAAAATTGTGTAGTTTGCGGGAAAAGATAAGATGGATTATATAAGTTGCTGCCTCATTTTAGATCAAGATAGTCTGACAAATACATTCATAAGAAGTGTCTATTGTTATTTAGTTCTGATTGGAATCATAAAGTTGCTGTGAATGAGCGATTGTATTATAGTGAATACAGAAAAGATTGTTCAGTATGTGGTAAAAGAAGTAAGCAATAGGTGGTTAGATGTGCACATAGGTATAAACTTTAATTATAAAATTCAGTTCATGTAGAAAAAGATTTCATTTAGATTGTTTAAATAATGCTATAATATAGTCAAATTAAAATTCAAGGAATTATTATCCAAGATTAGATGTTTATTGTTAAGAGCATTCTATTGATTTAATTAAAATTAGCAATTTGGATGATTGTGTAGAATCAATTTTTAATTAACATCTATTAAATTAAGAATAAGAACCTGGCTAAATTTAGTAGAGAAAACACAAAAAAAAGCATAAGAAGAAACATTCTAGATCAAGATCAAGATCTCATAAGAAATCAAGAAGACGATCTAGTAGCTAATATAGATTTAGTGATAGTCAAAGTTTAAAATCATCAAAATCGTAACATAAAAATCATTCTCATCAAGAAAAAGATAGTTTATTAGTTATACCTGAAAGTAAGATTACTGATTTCATGATACAAAAAGTTAAAATTTTAACATAAGGACCTATATTTGAAAGAGAGGAATCTATTATTGAACCTTTACCTATTCCTCAACCTATATAATAACCAATTATTGTATAGAAGGAAGTTGAAAAATAAAAGATTTATCCATAAATTTAAAGATAAATTATAGAAGATCCTGAATTTCCATATACAGAAAGAGATAATAAAAGAGATCAATCAATTTTAAAGTGGTGGGAGAAAATTGAAGAAATATATTTCAAAGGAGAAGAGAAATTACCAAATACAAAAATTGAAGAATTTTAGAATCCTTTTGAATGGTCTAATTAAGGTATAGATGAAGATTTACTTAATTATGCTGATTAAATGAATATTGGTATTTATTTTTATATTTATTATTATTATTAGAGCCTATTATACAGTTGAGATTTCAATATAGAGGAAGCATTAATGTTTTAATAAGATGTTCAAAAGCTTAGTATTAGTACACTAATTGTAAAAATCTTTTAGTTTCATTCGATATAGTTTTACCGAGCATGTAGGCAAAGCAACACCAAAAGGACTTATGAGGACTAACATACAATTGTATAGATATTTATAAGAAACAGTTGATATTCCTACATATTCTGATAAAGAAATAGTTGGCAAAGATCTAATTTATTTAGAAGGTTGTGAATTAACTAAATAAGAATATTAGGATTGTTTTGAATTAGAATAATAAATTAAAGAAGTTTATTCTAAATTGGAATCTTAATTAGATATTGAAAGTGATACAATACAATAATTTGATATTGTTTATCATATCTTAAATAAAGAATTAACTTCTGTAGTTAAATAAAATAATTAATTTAGAGATTAAATCAATTCATAAATCACTGATTACAATTTTAAAATATTAAATACTGAATAACAATTATTGATTGATTTATTGAGATGGTCTTAAATAGTCAAAGCATTTATAAATGGATACAAAGACAAAAATTAAGATGTTTTAAATTCCTTTTTTCCTTTTTAATTAACATTAACATCACAATCATCCTAAAAAGCATAATAAAAGAAAAAGAAAATACATTCTAAAGAAAATACTTAACCTTTAGATACTGATTGCAAAATTTGTTTTGATTATCATTATACAGATTTTAATCCAGTCATTTATTGTGGAAAATGTTCAACATCTTTTCATAAGAATTGTTATGGTTTAACTGGATCATTAGATGAAGATGATGTTATTTGTGATGCATGTTAATATGAATCTTCAAAGTTAAATTAATTCAGAAGAGGTATATCTATAATAATTATAAGGTGCTGCAAAATGTAGAATATGTAAAAAATTAGGATTACCATAAAAGTATATAAGGAATTATTTTTATCATGTTTCTTGTTTACTTTTAACTAATTAAGTCATTCTATCAGATGGTGCTTATGATGTTAGATATAGAAAGAATGATATTAAACAATTTTGCAAAGATAATGAATCAAGTACTCCATAATGTGCTGTTTGTGGAGATTCTAAAGGTTATTTATCAATTTAATCTAAGGATTTCGTTTTGTTTGTTCTGGTAGTGAAACCATTCCATGTAAACATGCATTCCATCCAATCTGTGCTTATCTACATGGTTTAACCATAGATATTGAAAGTGAGGACCTTGAACAATGTTGCAAAGAATTACGGTTTGCTTAATTAAATGTGCATATCAAATGTGTCTTACATTGTAATAAAACATTGTAAGAACTTGTATAGTAGACTTACTACAGGTATTATTTTTAAATATTATTATTCTAGAAGATTTGCACTGAATTATGAGCAAACTGCTAAATGTGGAGGCGAAGATGCATTCATAGAAGAATTCAAAAAAACTAAAGGATATAAGTAAGATATTTAAGCAAACTCTTAAGATATCTCTCACTAAAGTTACCCATATCAAGAAATGACAATTTATAATAATTTATTAATTAAAATGGTACACCAACCCAACAGATGTGAGTAGTATTTTCATTTTAAAATATTAAATATTGGATGAAGAAAGTTCTTTTAACATGTGATCTAAGTTACTAATATCTATTAGATATCTATTTTTATTTGACAACTTATTATTAAAAGTAATTTAAAATAAATCATATTATATCATATAATATTATAGTCAATTCCAAATTATTATCATAATTCATTTATTTAATTCTATAATTACAATTCTATTGGAATATTAAAAATAATTTATAGGAAATGAATTATATTTTAATCTACAAATTATAATATATTTTGATAGGAAAATAATATAATAATAATTTAACATAAAATTTGGAAATATTTATTAATATTCTTTTATTATTTCTATGAATAAGAACTTAATAAAAATTTTAATAATAATAATTTATTATTAAAATAATCACTTAATTAATTTATTATTTACCCATCTTCCTTCAACAATCTTTTAGTTTTTTGTATGATATAAACCAAATCCATTTATATAATCCTTTAAAAATTGACCACAAAACTTTTCACCATTTGATAAATATAAAGTACCTTGACCTTCTTTATTATCTTCATTAAATTCTCCTTCATATTTAGTCCAAAAACTACATAAATAAATTGAATTACTCTTCAATATGATCAAAATCATGATAATTAAAAGGTTCATTTAATTAAGATGTTACTTCATTATATAATACACCATAACCTTAAAATTTATCTTAATTCCACGATCCTTTATATGCTGGATTACCATTTGAATAATATAAAGTACCTATGATTTATAATACATAATATAGATACCATAACCATGCATATGATTAAACTGCCAATTTCCATCATAATATCCTCCATCTTTGTAATAAAACATACCCTATCCATGCCTCATTCCATTAAATTTATAACCATTATATTTAGAACCATCTTAATATAATTCATTTACAAAAATTTCTCCTTAAGAAGAAAATCCTGAGATGTGTGGTTATGATTATTATTAAGGTAGATCAAATGGGAGTGAAAATTATTATTGAGATTCTTTGACATTAATATCACTAAGTTTTAATTAAAAATTTTTATTAATATGTTGATCAGTGTGATCCTATAATGGCAAATTTAAAGATCTATTAGTGTAATTTTAATCATTTTCATTAGTATCTGTATTTTCATCAATTTTTGAAGGTTTTGAAAATTATTGAGAGTATACTATTTATTAAATGAAATCAGAATTATCAGGAATATTAGGTTAAATAATATCTTCATACATTCTACTAGCCATAGTTGAATTTGTATTTGATTGTTCTGTAATAATATCTCTTAGAGATGGTTTTTTAGCATTAGATTTTGAAATTTTGATTTATTTCATAATTGGTAGAGTTTATTATTAAAATTGTACATTAGATTAATGTTAAGAATTTTATTATATATTACTTTATTATTGATCTTATGAATTAAATGATCTAAGTTAATATTTAAAATTAGTAATAGATGTAGATTCTTAATATTTTTAATCTAATAATTTTGATAAGATAATAAAATCAGGTCTTTATATTTCTTAGATTTATAACATAGATTGAATTACTTCAAATAATTATGGTTATACAAGAGTATTTAATTGATGTAATTTTGTTAGTAATACTTCTTCTACTAAATATAATTGTTTATAGCAATCATTCATAGGTGTTTTTAATATACTTTATAACATACACATTCCAAGTATAAATACATCACTTTTATATGGATTATGATTAGGTTGAAATTCTTTTTATCTTAAAGCCATAGTTTATTAAGGTGATAGATAAATATCATTTAATTTATTATTTTGAAAGAGCTATTAAAAATTTGTGGATTACTCATAAAGTGAAGGATCACATATTTTAGGAGGTATGTATAAGGTTTTTGATGATATATGTTCATGTTAAATAGATTTATTTTATAAATCTTCTAATGCTCTAACATATGCGAACAAAACCGCCCAATAATCTTATGAAGCCAATTATGTTGCAGATAATTAGGAAGTTGGATGCTCTATTAATAAGTATATTTTAAAAAATTGACTACACACTTATTAATCTTATGTAGTATAGATGTCAAGAATTTTGAGAATATATTAATTTTGAGTTAATTATTGTTTATTTTCGAATTACTTTTTACTTTTCTTAAAAAGTATTTCATCTATGTATGTGTATTCTTTCAAAATAAGTTTGATTTTAGGATTTGATTTATTAACTAAGACTGTACAATCACCAAATTCTAAATTAATAGATTGAAATACATTCATCTCTAGTTTTAGTTGGTTGATATTCAGAATATAATTAAGCTAACTTTGTGGATTCTTAGCTATTATTATTTCCCATTCAAAATTAACGAATATTTAATAATAATGATTACAATTCTAAAGAATACTTTAATAATATATGTAGGACTTTTAGGTCTTAGTACAATAGGATCTCTATTCATATGTTTAGATTAAGATTATCATTAACAATGTCCATCACATGTAATCACAATTTTATCAGATTTATCTGTCATTCCAATAATTAATGATGCAAGAATGATGTTGATTCCAATAATAAAAGAATTACCTCCATAATGGATTACTATATTAATTTGGAGTTCATTAATGATGACAACTGCATTAATAATATCAGTAATGTATTTAGCAGCGTAATGAATTTAAATTAATATATAGAAAGTTCACTTATGAAATGTTAATGAATTTAGTTAAATTAATAGTAATAATTATTTTGATATCACTCATTTGTGCATGGTTGATGAATGTTTAAGAGATACCTTCAAAATTGTAATATTATTTGAAGTACTTACAATTATTCTAATAATGATAATATAATTATTTTATAATTAATGAGATCACTTTCTTAGGTTTGTATCACTGAAAATTCAGAAAATATTGAAAAATATATCTTTAAACCAAAGAAAGTAATCACATTAAAGTCAGACTCACCTACTCTAACTAAAAGAAATAGTCAATAAGCTATGGTTATTTTATCTGAATCACCTCCTAAAAAACATAAAACTTGTAGTAGTGAAATTCCATTGAGTAATGGTAAAATGTTTTTGCAGAATGGAAAGATCTTATTTTTAAAGTAAAAGCTACCAAAATTAGAGTTACCATAAGCAAAATGTAAATTTGATCCAAAAATTGAAATCCTCAAATGGATATAAACAAATAAGATTATATCTCCTACAAAAAAAAGAATCACATTTAGAGCAATAAAAGAATCAAATGGTTAAAATAGAAAATCATAAATCTTTTGATTATATTAATGAAATTAATTAACTAAATTTATTGAAGTATTATATTTAAATTGGATATATGATAATTGATATTGGAAATTGAATAATAATTTATATCTTAATGGTAGATATCAATAAAATGAATAGTTTTAATTATTTTATATATATATATATATTAATATTATTAAAATGGATTATTACAAGATTTTAGAAATTAATCGTGATGCTTCAGCCTCTGATGTAGCCAAAGCCTATAATAAACTTTCATTAAAATGGCATCCAAAATTAAGTAAGTTAGATCATAATACTACTTATCATCATTTTTGTTTAATTTCTGAAGCTTATGAAGTATTGTCTGATCGTAATAATATATAATCAATTTAGCAATTAAAAGGACTTTCTATGATAAGTATGGTGAAGAGAAGTTGAAGGAAGGTTTCTTTGCTAATGGAAGTAAATAATTTATTGATTAACTAAGACCTCAAGGGCGGTTACAGTTTTGCAGGTAATCCTGAAGAAATATTTGAAAAGTTTTTTGGTACATCTAATCCATTTGCTTAACTTATAGGTATATATTAATATTCAATCATTTAGATACAAATGGATCAGAAAATCATGGCACTCTCTTTAGTCATGCATTTGGAGGATAGAATTTCCCAGGAATACCAGGACCTTAAGATCTTGAAATCTAAGTAGAGTGTACTTTACATGAATTATATAATGGTTGTGCAAAAACAGTATCATATTAAAGATAAATACTTAATAAAGATGGAATCACAACTCGTTAAATTACAGAAACTAAGTATTTATTTATAATTTGATATCTTTTAGAGAAATTAAAATTGATCGTGGTATTGAAACTGGATAAAAGATAGTATATAAAGAATTAGGTAATGAAGCTGCAGGATTTAAATCTTCTGATTTAATTTTCTAAATCAAAGAAACTCCACATCCAACTTTTAAAAGAAAAGGAAATGATTTATTATATATTGCAAAAGTTAAATTGGCAAATGCTATTGCTGCAGATCCAATATAAATTGTAACATTAGACAATAGAAAATTATAAGTACCTGTTGATTAAATAATAAGGTATTTTTATTAATAATAATCATAGTCCTAAATATGTAAAGATGATTGAAAATGAAGGAATGCCTATCTTCTAATAGGATGAAGTGAAAGTATAATATTTTATATAAATTTTAGGATTTTGGTAAACCATATACATTTGGAAATTTGTACATTAGATTTGATATACAATTCCCAGAAGATCTAACAGAAAGTTAAAAAAATAGAATCAAAGATATTTTATTAGAAGGTTAATAATAATGATTCATATTAATTATCATCATCATCATTATAAAAATTACTCATTAAAATTTTGTTAATAATTAATGAGAGTTTATAAAAATAATAATTTACTATTATTTAAAAACCTTTTTATGTTTTAATAACGTCATCAAAAGTTGAGAAGTAATAGCTTAGCATTTGATTAATAATTACCTCCTGTAAAACGATCTAGAACAGAAGAGACAATCTTAGGAGTGTTGTCTTATGGAGGATTTTAATTAAAAATTCATAAACGTATGATTGATAGTCTTAATATGATAAAACCTTGTTAATTATAACCAATATAAAAAAATAAATTCAAACTAGAAAAAATTAAATAATAACCAAAATTACCTAAATTACCTAAATTAATTATGTTAAGATAGATTAAAAGTAGAGAATTCAGTCCTTGGTGAATTATATGTTAATTATTTTTATTCATGATTATTATGATAATAACTATTCATTTCTGATTGTAACATATATCACATTATTAATAATAAAATAAATAGAGATCAAACTTTTACAGAAATCACAAAAATTTTCTCTATTTTTTTTCATTTAAATCATAAAGTAATGAATTTAATTTCTTTTTATAATTTCACTCTTTTCAGTATGATAGTCTTGACTTTCACTTTTAAGTTCTTGTAATTAATTCTTTTATTAATAGCTTTTGAATCTTCTGAATCTCTTATGTCTATGAGTGAAATTAAGATTCCAATTTAGATGACATATAAAATGATATAAATATATTAAAATATTTAAAAGTTCTACTACTTTTAGTAAAAATTAAATCTAAAGAAGATTGTATATAATAAGATTAAGACTTGATCAAAATCAAATTTCAAATACTTTAGTTCTAAATATTTAAGGTTAAATTGAAGATTATTATTTTGATTTAAATAAAATAGTTTCTTTTATATAATTAAATAATATAAATATAATTTTAGCTTTAGGAACTATAATATATAAATTCATAAAGCAGAATCAGCTATTTAACATCTCAATATTCATCTATTGTATCTTTTGTGTCTATCTAAACCATGTATCTAATCTTCACTTTAGTTTCATCATAAACTATATATTCATTATGTTGTAGATTATAATAATGCATTTAATTTCCATTTTAATCTTTCTTATTTGGTTATTGATAATCAATGCATGATCCAACAGGTACTTTACATCCATTTGCCAAAACAACTGACTAATTATAATCAGGTCCTCTTCTTCCACATCCTTTAACTGATTAATATTTTTCTAAAATAATTTATTAATAAAATTACTATCTAAATTAGAAATATTTTCAGCATTATATAGATTCTTTGATTTACCAACAGCTACTTCACATAGTAACATGTATCTGTATCTCTGAATTTCTTCTTATTCATCTTTCTAAGCATTAATCTATCTATTATAATATCCATCTTATTAGAAAAGTCCATTATACTAATTATAACGGAGAGACCAATCTGAAGTATAACCATATGATTTTTAAAACATATCAGCAAAATAGATGCCTTTTCCAAACATAGCCCCAGTATTAAATGCCCAAGGAGGTGCAACTATATTTATATAAATCAATCAATACCTTTCAATCCTTAAGCTAAAATACCCATGAAATTAGAAATCTTAGAACCATGCCATAAGAGCAATCTCTTGTATTCTTTATTATGTTCAAATCTTTCAGTTTCTCCTCTTCTTTCTACTGCAAATATATTTGAAATCTTTGCTTTTTAAGATGAATTGATATATTAAATTATCAATTTAAATTCAGGATGTTCCTTTGGTAAAGTAACTACTCTAACATTAAGTGCATTAAAACAATAAGTTAATGGATTAATTGATTATTTCATTAAATGTGCACCCAATAAAATTTTAGAAGTTATTTCAAAGTTTAGTAATGTTTCTATTAATAATAATTTTTAATTTATTGCTTCAACTGTATCCAAAGGAGGAATAGGTTCTGTTCTTAATTCTGTTACTGGAACTATTTCATAAAATCTACTTGATTTATCACAAATTTCATTAAAAATATTTTGTATCTTTTTAATATCAAGATCACCTTTTTTTCTAAGTGATTGTAGATCTTCAACACAATCTGTTAATTCATATAAAATAGCTTTAGCTGCTTCCAATAATTTTCTATCTAATCTTTCAATAGGCATAGAATCTAAATCAACATGGAATTATTATAAATCTTTATTATACAATTTAACTTAAACAAATTATAACATAAATCTCTTTATAGCTTTATCTAAATTACTTTATTAATAAGGACTTTTCTTACTAAAATCAAAGGGTGAAAGCAAAGTCTTATAATTTTTTGCATTCTTAAAATTAATCAATTAATATTTTCCTGGTTTCTTTACAAATGGTTCTTCTCCAGTCTAAACATTTCTCCAATTATTTCCTCCAGTTTTAGTATGAAATATTTTATTAAATTCCTTGATACATTCTTCTGCATTTTCAAAAGGTGTTAATTGATGTTATCCAGTTGTTCCAATCCTTCCCCATTTAGTTAAGAGTATAAAAACATTTCTATTAATTTCATGTAAGACTTGCATTCTATAAAATACATTCTCTGAATATATACCATTACCAATATCAACTTTAGTCATCAATAATGAATATGGACCAGATTCTTTATCAATCCAAACTTCAACTTTACCTGATTATAAAGCTTAAGGATCTACTATTCTTTTAGGGTCTTATTTTGAATCATCCAATTATTCTCCATTTTCATCTAAAAATTTCTAAGCATCAGCCTCAACATCAATTTCTTCTTCAACCCATTATGCTTAAGAAATAATACTAGTAGGAAGTCTAGGCTATTTTTATTTCTTGCCTTCTATAGCATTTAATTGTTTAAGAGCATCAGCCATAGTTCCTGAATCTTGATCATTAGCATAATCCAATGGAGTTCTTCCAAATTTATCAGGTTAGTTGATATCAAAATATTTTGATAATATTTCCAACATTTAAATATTTTCATATGAACCAAATTCAAGAGGTTAAACTACATAATGAATTGGTGTTCTATTTTAGGAATCTTAAGAATGAAAAGTTTTATCAAATTTAGGATGATTCAATATAAAATAGACTAATTTCATAGAATTTATTTTAATAGATAACATTAATGATGTTTCTCCAGTATCTGTCTTTTCATTAATATCACATCCAGCATCAGTAAACTTATTTAGTATTATTTCATCTTCTAAATGAAATTCTTGAATCAAAAATAAAATAGGTGATAATTAATATTTTTTATCTTTAACTTTGAATTTTACATTTAAATTTGTATTTTTTTCTTTCCATAGTTATAATTCTATATCAGATACCAAAGCTTAATAATTTTTTTATAATCTTATAGAGAATGGAGTGTTTTAATTAATGTTGTAAATATTTGGATCACAATTAGATTGCAATAAATATTAAATCATTACAAAAAAATCATTTTTAGCAGCATAATGTAATGGAGTATAATTTTTATCATCTTTAGCATTTTTATCAACTTACCTATTTGTTAATTCATCAGCTATCATTAATGCAATTTCTTCTGTACATTTTCTACCTTTTATTGAAAATATATGAAAGAGATTTTATTTATTTTTATTTTGTTTTTAAACAATTTTATCATCTTTAACTTTCATCAATAAAGTACGTACTAATTTGAATTGTTCTTCCATTATAGCATCTTCTATTGCTCTTTGTAGATCATATCCATCAGAAATTAATAAATAAGCTAATCCTTACCATCCTTATTTTATTGCTAATTTAAAATATGAATATGTTCCTACAGGGAATTTATTTGATTGTAATAAATAAATTTTACTTGATTATTTTTATTATTATTGTTATTATTATTATTATTATTATTATTATTAAACTTAAAATTGAAATTATTATTAAAATTATTATGTTATTTAATATTTAGTCTAACCTGAAAATAAACTTGGCATATTTTATACACTATTTCCTCCAAATGGCATTATAGTAGGTTAAATAATTCCTCCATTAAGTTCGTTATCATCTATCTAATTTTCTTATTGTTCATCATCTGTAAAAATTACATCATCTTCCTATTCTATTGCTTATCCACTTTAAATTCTTTCCTTTCTCTTTTTCTTTTCTTCCTGTTTAAACTTTTCATAATCAATGATATTAGCATATCTATTTACATCTGCTTTATTATCTATAAGCATTGTACAGAAGTTAGAATGACCACATAAAAATGCCAAAGCCAATGGTGTATTACCATATTTATCAGGAACATCTATTGGAGCTTTCATTTTAATCATGTATCTTCCTGATATTACACTTCCTCTCATTGCAGCATAATGAAGAGGAGATCTTTAATGTATGTCAACACAATCAACTTCACAATTTTTATCAGCTATAATAGATGATACTGTTTCAAAAGGATCAATTTCTCTAAAATCATTATCATGAGTCATTTTTGTGAATGCATAAAAGAGAGGAGTTCTTTTGAAAATATCAAGTGCATTAGTGTTTGCTCCATTCTTTATCAATAAATGTTCCATTTCAAAACTAGCATCAGCTTAAGAATTAGATGAATTTATAGCATGATGCAAAGCTGTTCTTTTTAATAGATCAGGGAAATTAGGATCAGCTTTAAATCTAGTCAAAAGAGTTGCAACAACTTTTACATTATTTTATTTTACCCAATATTATAATGGGATTTCGTCAGCATCATTCAAATTATTGAGACTTCCCCCATTAGAAATTAAAATATCTAGGATTCCATCTAAAGTAGAAACATACCTACAAGCTATTTAACTTGTAGGAGTATTTAATTTCTAGTCTTATACATTAATATTAATTTTATTAATTACATACTCCAAAAATGTTTTGCTTGTTTCATTTTCTCTTCCACAAATAAAATTAGTATTGCATGAATTAGCAAAAAGATGTATTGGATAAATATTTTATAATGCTGCTTAAGTCAAAGGTATAGGTTTGATATCATCTATTCCTTGAAGGAATGAAATACTATGGTGTTATTTGAAAATAAAATGAGCAAGAGTATAACCTCCTTCATTAATATAGGGATGATCTTATTTTTCTTATTCTCCATCTCTATATTACTTTCTCTTTATTATTGAAGAATTCGGATCTGCTCCCAAATTTATAAACAATTTGTACAATTTAAGTACTGTGTCTTATAAATTCAAAGATTCTTATTTTGTCTATTTAACCAAATCATCTACTTATTCTTTATTTAAAAAGACTATAACTGGCCTGCTTTTATAATAGAATGTTTTTGTATGTAATTGGTCCTTGGTTGGTACAAAATTAGTTTAAGGTTTAGAAACTGTATTTGGATATCCAAATAATCCTTATTTAGTTTAGTTGTTATTTTGATAATTATAACCATGGTTATCATCTTCATCATCATCATCATCATCATCAATTCCATTTTGTTTCTTATTTTTATCATCTTCCTTATCTACTTTATTTAAATTTCCTTTAACATTTTCATCCTCATCCTCATCTTCTTAATTTTGATTTTCTTTTTACTTTTACTTTTTCTTTAAATTCTCTTCATTCTAAATTTACATTTACAATTATTTTTCTTTATTAATTCTTTCTTCTTCTTCTATCAATTCTTTTAATCTCTCTTCAAATAATTTTTATTAAAGTTTTGATACTTTCTTATTAAAAATTTATGTATGTTGTGCTTCTGCCTAACTTGTATATTCAGATATGAGATAAATTAATGGATTCCATCCATTTTCATCATATTAATTAACATATGATGGATCAATAGTTTTTATTATATTTTCTAACATTGAAAATCCTTTCACATTACAAAATAATCTACATTCTATTAATTTATGTAAAATATTTCTATCTTTTTTATCAACATAATTTACAGTAGGATTTGATAATTTCATTAATAATTCTGAAACCTTGAAATTCTAGTTCATAAAGGATAGAATAAATGGTGTAAATCCATTTGCATCTTAGGCATTTACATCTGAACCTGCATTAATTAATAGTTCAATAATTTAATGAACTAAATTTTCATAATTATTTTTGATATTTCTTCTCTCTTCTTTAGTAAAATCATTCCATTTATAATAATATTATTTTGCATTCTTTCTAGACAATAATACAGCATAATGTAAAGGAGTCTTTTCTTATAAATCAGCAATCTTAACATCAGCATTCTTTTCCAAAACTAAATATTTTATATACTCAAAAGTATCTACTGTAAATTTGCTTAAGCTTGATGATATCAATGTTCTGCCTTCATCATCCTTACAATTCACATCTGTAGAAGGATAACTCAACAATTATTTAACTATACCTAAATGATTTTTCTATAAAGCAACTGATAAAGGAGTCAATCTCCAAGAATTTGGTAAATTTTAATCAGCTCCAACTTTCATTAATTCATCAATACATTCTGGAAAACCATAAGCAGCTGCATAATGTAATGGAGTATTTTTTGAGCTATCTGGAGAATCATATTCAGCTCCATGATAAAGTAATAAAGAAAGTATCTTAACATTACCATTTCTAGCAGCCAAAACACAAGAAGATCTTCCATATTTATCTTTAGCCAATACTTTTGCTCCTTTATCTATTAAATACTTAGCTAGATCATAATGACCATATGCACAAGCAATATTTAATGGAGTCATTTTATTTTATCCTGTTAAATTAATTTTAGATCCTTATTTTAATAGAACCTTTACAGTTTCTAAATGTCCTCCTTAACATGCAACATGAATTGCTGCATTTCCATCTCTATTTTTTCCATCAATATTATTTGATGCCAAAAGTTAGACATTATGTGTACGACCATATTAAGCTGCCAAAATTAATGGTGTGTTCTTACTTCTATCTCCCTCTCTTACATCTATATTATTTTCCATCAAATATTTCAAGCATGCTGAAGTCTATGAAACTGCAGCATAATGGATAGGTTTTCTATGTATTTCATCCAAAATATTATATTCCTATGAAATATCTAATAATTTCTAAAGACATGCATGATTTGGATTTATAGCTGCACAATGGATTGGTGTAATTAAATAATTTCCACCTGATTTCTTTGTTGCTGATGGTTTCTTGATGTTACCAATACGACTTGCACTTGTATAATTTAAAACATCAACATGGACTTAATTGAATCCATACATATGTCCTTTATCCATTGCCATTTGAACTAAATAGCCAGCAGTATTCCAATTTCCACATCTGACTGCAATAGCAATCTGAGTATAATATTGATGTTCATCTCCAAATTAAGCCATCATTAAACCAAAGAACTCTGGATTACTATCAATTCTCATTAATCTTTCAATCTATGTCTCCGTTAAACTATTCTCTTATTCCAAATCCTAAACAAAAGCATTATTTCCTTCTCTTCCTCCTCTACTTAAAGCAACCTTTCTAGTTCTAGCACCATAAGCATATTAATCATTAAATCCTGTTTAGATTTCTTTTAATGAACATCTTGGAGCACTCCCAAGTTTTACTTTACCTATGGCTTTTATAAATTAAAGTAACATAGCCTTATCTTACCTTTAAAATATGAGTTCAATAGCATTCACATCATTTTCAGGAGCCCATTTTTAAAAAAGATTACTAATTTTTAAAGAATGACCTAAGATATCTTCTAATAGTCTACTATTTCCAGTATTAGCAGCTCTAATCAATTCCTTATTATTCATCATAGTACTAGAATAATCAGTAAATCTAGATGATGTTCCTTCAAATTGTTCACAAATTTATTTTATTTCTCTATAATCTGGATTAATTTTTCCTTTAATAAATTTAGGTGGTTAAGCAGGTTAAGATTTAGATTTCTTATCACTTGCTTTACCTTTCTTTTTCTATTATTCAACTGATTAAGATTAATCTTAATTATCTATAACATCTTCATCAGAATCTTGTTATATTTGAGCTCTACCTCTCTTAATTTGTGTTGGTAGTTATTCATGTTTATCCTTTTAAGAAGCAGGTGTTTATCTAGTGACTCTTTTCTTTGTTTATTCTTATTAATTTTCTTCTTAAGAACTCTCTTCACTCTCATCCAAATTAACTTTTTTATTTACTTTTTGATTACTCTTAACCTAATTTTGAGTATGTTTCTTTAATGAAGCTTTATTTTTTTTTGGCTCTTCATCTGATGATTCTTCATCAAAACTTTCATCTGACTCATCTTTTTTTTTCTTATTATTCTTAACTTCCTTTTTTTGAGTCTCTCCTTTAACAGCTTATTTGGTTCCTTTTTTAATTGTATACTTTTTAGGTGATTCCTCTTCTTCATTTTCACTTTCAGAACTTACTTATTTCTTCTACTACTATGTATTGGAGGGAATTTGCCTAACACTCTTGGCTATCTCTTATAAAGTATCTTGAGTGAATACAAAAGAATTCACTGTAGATTTACTCTTAGGATTTGGTTTTGTGGATTTTACTTCAACATCTTCCACAATTTAACTAAAATTAATATCTTATATTACGTTCTTTCCTTAACTGATAATAATGCTTCTTTTGACTCTTTATAGACAACTTTACCATCCTTTTACTTCTCTTGTTACTCTAGTCTTACCACTTTTAATTATGATTTATGATCATTTGTTTATAGATCTTCTACTACCTTATAGAAGACTGGCTTTCCTTTTTCATTTTATCCCAATATCTAATCCTTTTTGAATTGATATGCAAAGTTATGGTCTGTTTTTTATCCACGAGTTTTCATTTAAGTTAATTATGATATTCGATTAAAAAAATCTGATGGATTTATGACTAAATTTTATGAGGTTTAAAAATAATTATAAAAATAAATAAATATATTCTAAAAAATTCTCAATTAATTTTTTCTAAACTTATACATTCTAACTAATTTCTTAACTCTTTAACATCCACTTACATATTATCGAATGTAGGATGATGATTACCATATTCAAAGTTCATTGGACTATAATCATTCATAAATCTTCTTTAATGAAAAGGTGATATATCTAAAGAGTGTATCCCATCAACTTATTTAAATTCGAAAGAATCTAAACCCTATATTAAATTAATTGAAGGTTGAATTCTATTTGAAGGAGTTCTATTCTAAAGATTAATAAATGAATCATTTTTTAAAGAATCGTTTTTTATGCTATCATGTTCCTCTTTTATTGATTAAATAGTCTCTAAAGGTATAATAATTTATTAAAGAGGAGGAATATGTGGATGTTCTGAATTAGAAGAATCTCCATCATTGTCTTCATCATCTGATTTCTCTTCTAACATATTCACTCTCTTTATATATGAATAAAATCTATTTTTCACTTAATTTTCCTATATAATTTAATTACTTCTTACTGGTCTTCTGTCTAACATTTTAGCAATTTCACTCCACTTAGGCCCATAAATTCTATACTACTCTAAAATTATTTTGTCCTCTTGCATAGTGAATTTTGATCTATTAATCTCTGGGTCCAAATTATTCAAAAACCTTTCTCTTATTTATTTACTAGTACGCCCAACCATAAATCCTTCTATTATCTTCCAGTTTCTACCATTTTCTTATACAAGTTCTATTACTTTTTTGTCTTCTTCATCTGTCCATTGTCTACGCAGTTTTGTCTAATCAAATATAGCCATTTTAACTACCTTATTAGGATTGATTCTCTTCCACCGTTATTAACATTAACTTAAATTTCTTCCAGGAATTTCTTCAGAAATCTACCGCCAATTTCCATTATGCTTTCTATGTAATCCTATTAACAATGTGTCCTCATTAGGAGTCCAAAATTTACCATACCTTCTTTCTGATGAACTAGAATCAGATTCACTGTTTTGCTTTTTAATAGATTTATTGATTAATGGTGATCTTTATAAGAACCAAAATACATACTTAGATTTTCCTTTCTAGCTATTCATATTTTTAATTAAATTAATCACTATTCAACTAGCTTTTTGAATTAAATCTTTAATTGTAATCAATATTTATAAAAATGTTATCAAAAATTAAATCATATATATTATCTAAACTCTGGGAGGGTTAACAATCGATTATGTTATTTCTAAGGTCTTTTGACTGGTTATAGATACATTTTGACATTAGCTTTTAATTTTCTTGGAGATGGATGTAGAGTTGTAGTCATTGTTGCTGGTGTTCTAGGAGTCAATACTTTCTAAAAATCACTTGGGAGAAAAGGAATTGAACGATATTAATTAAGAATTTTTCTATGATTAGAAAATTTTCTCATTTAATCAACTACAATCTATTGTTGCTTAATTAAAAAAGAGTCAAAAAAGCTAGATTTGCTTTTATTCTTATTTGCACAAATTTATGTATGAACATCTTCCAGATGCTCAAACGAATTTATAATAAAATCATTATGAAGATCACCACCATCTTCTAATTGTACACTCTTTATATTCAAATATTATGGATAAAATTTTTCATATTGCTTTTTTTATGTTCTCTAATATTTATTTGCAAGAGCTTCCTATTCTTTTATCTATTGCATTATAAAAACACCATCTTTCATTGAATCTCTTTAAAAGTTTGTTTCTTTTCCACATTATGAACAATGGCAACTCTTCCTTTACTATCTATCTTTCATTTCTATATTTATTTAAGAATATTTAGAATTGGTTATTAATGATTCTCTTTTTTATGGAGATTATTCTCTTGTTTAAAGTTCTTCAATAGTTTCTTTTCGAGATGGACAGAGGTTTTTTGGCATAGTTTCGAATCTATTCAAAAATCTCTAATTTTTTGGCAAACTGAAACTTCGTTTAATTCTCTAAATATGTATATTTCTCAATAACACATTCTTCATTAATGTTTATTTCTTTCTCTGAATTCGCTCTGTTAGAGGTTGAAAGTGAACTTATAAATAAGGCTTTCTTTATTTAATATTTTGCATAATTATATTTAATCACTTATACAAATTACTATTTTTATGAAACATGTGGAGTTCTATCAACAAATTTTCAAAAAAAACCATTATATCATTATGGTATTTTATCAAATGTTAAAAAAAAAGAACAAATAAATATGTTGATTTTGAACAGACATAACTTGTTAATAAAGAGCATGAATATATGAAATTATAAATATATCTCCCTGAATCTGTAGACTCTTTTACTGGAAAATATTATACTAATATCTCATCATTAATATTGAATTGATTTTAGTTTATATGCAAAGAACTTTTTTTTAATTATATTCAATTAGTTCATTACGAGTAATTCCTTACCTCAGGTATTTTTTGAATTTTAAATTGTTACCAAATTTTCTATGTTAAATTCTTTGGATTTATAAAACCCTCCAAAATGAATATTTTAAGCATTATTAGTTAGGCTTTTCATATATTATTCATTAGCTAATATATAGAAACATCTAATACTTCTAAACCAAAGATGTTAAATCTTCTATTGAATCCTTCTGCGAACTCTGATAAAATTCCACTTGTTTTATTTTCTTTGATATTAGTAAATTGCTCAGAATACTACATTTTAAACTGAAGGGCTATAAATTTTTAATATATCTAATATTTATTTTTTATTTACATTATTGAAATAATTAACATTAAAAATAATTTGATATAAAATTTTAACTTATGAAATCTCTTAAGATAAAAACTCATTAATATTTTAAAAAGAGCGAAATAGATAAGAATTAATTAATAGCAACATTACCATATTGTGTAAAAATTGAAAGTTCTGAAGAAGATGAAATGAATGATATAATTAAATTAGAATTTGATAGAGTTAATTGCATTCCTTTAAATGAAATCACTACATTTATAGTAATTCATATTTATTATGATTTTTAGGATCTTCATTTATTTAGATTTACTCATGGATAAATATTTAGTCTTATTCATAAATTATTAGATTTAATAGAAAAACTAAAATATTAAAATATCAATTAATATCATATATGGTTAATATTCAATTAATAACATAACCAAAGATTAGAATTATCTAAACTATCTTTTTTAGATTATCAATTATTTTATTCATTTCCTTTATAAAAATAAGATGAATAAGATAAATCATAAATTATTTAATTAATTACTAAACTTTTATAATTATGTAATGATATTCCATCATGTTTTTATTTTATTGAATCAAATAAACCTTATAAAATTTATGAAAAAGAACTTAAATAATAAGAATTTCAATAATTTAAATAAAAATTTAATGATTATTATATAAATCCAAAAAATATTGATTAATAAAATTAGATTGATTTGAATATTGATACAAAAGATGATTTTGTTTAGAATTAAAATGATTATTAGAAATTAGAAATGTTTGTTTCAGAATATATTAAATAAAATTATAATTTATCACCTTTAGACACTATTTTAAATCAATTGTTAAAATATAATAATTTCAAAATAGGTTTAATATCTATAGGTATGCATGCTGATAAACAGAAAAAATACAAAAAATATGAATTAAAACATTTAAACTGCATCTTTAAATTAAAATCAGAACAATAATTGAATTAATTAATTTCACAAATGTTTCAAAGTTTAAATGAGCAATAAGAAATATTAAGAGACTCTATTAAATATGAAGATTATCCATTAAGTTAAGAAGAATTATAAAATTTATATGAATCTGCTGCTATTACTTATTTTAAACATCAAGGATATTTTAATTCTTTTGATTAATTTATTGAAATAACACAATAAATTATTGATAAATAATTCAATTTTCAAGATAAATTCTAATATATTCTTAAACCATTTATTTAAGAACATTATTCTTAAATTGTTCAGCTAAATTGCCTTGATAAAATAAATGAATTAATATGAAATATAGAATTTTATATAGAGGATTAATCTCTATTATATATCAAATTTTTTCTGATAAATTAAATAATATTTTATAGTAATGTTTATCGATTCATATAATGAATAAAAATAAATATAATTAATTTATTTCAAAACCTTTTTTTTTTAACAAATTTATTAAGTTGAAATGATTTTTATAATCCTTAATACTAATATGCTGACTGAATTCATACATTGTTATAAATTGATATAATTATTTAAAACAAAATGTTATAAAATTTTATCATATTTAAATTTACAAATAATTAAAAATCAGGCAAAAACTAATAAGAAAGAAAGATTTTTATAATTTTTATTGAGAGGGAATAAAATATCTTTATTTTTACTCTATTTCCTATTAGTTTTTATTATGGTGATTGCTATCTTTATTTTTCTTCATATTTTGGAAATGCCTGTTCTTATATTCATTTTTACTTCGAAAAATTACACTTTGATCTCCATTGCTTAATAATTTATACTTTTTTATTATCTATGTCTTTTTATCTGAATTTCTGGGTTGATTTTATAATCTTTTAATTTTTAAATAATTTTATCTAGAAAATTTGTCAAAGATTGATTTTTTTCATTTGAATTTATAAGAAGTGAATTAAAATTTAAGTTGTTCTGTGAGATTAACATAAAATAAATTTAAATAATAAGAAGTAAGCTTTCTTTATAAAACATTGATTTCAATACGATTGATTTAAAAAATTTAAACTAACAATTGTAATTTTGTTTGATTATAAAAACATAAAGTAATTTGTGTCAATTAATTAGATTAGTAATCAAAAATATTCTTTTTCAAATAAATTCTTAAGTAGAAGAAACATTATGTGGTTTAATAAACAAAGGTTATACTCTTAAAAATAAATATTATAGTGTAGGTGTTTCAAAAGAATAATATTAGAATACTTTTATTCCTCATTTAAATAATAATGTGTTTATCAAAGAAGAATTAGTGAATCAATTATTGAAAAGAAATCTGATATTAAAGTTAATCATTAATCAATTATAAATTTTTAATGTTCTATGTTCCTATTTTTAATTTAATATTTTTAACTATCAATAAATATGTGAGATAGTTATTTAAATAAATTACATTTATGAAATATTTGTTCTAATGCTTTTGATTAATATTAATATAATAATAATTTATGAAAATCTATAAATCCTTTGCATTTGATTAAAATATTCCATAGTCAGATTATGAGAAATTTATCAACCCTGATGATCTGTTAAATGAGAGCTTTGAGGAATTAAAGGGAGAGTTTAAAAATTACAGAACAAAAAAGGGTAGAGACATTATCAAACAAGAAATGGAGATGAGAAAGTAACTGCAAATGAAAAGTATAATCATATTTTTAATTGTAGGGAAAAAAAATTAATCTGGGTTGGGTGTCTAACAAAAAAAACATGAAGACCATGATAATTAAAGAGACATGTATGGGAATATTGGATTGCTGATTCGATAATAAGAGAGAAAGTGCAAATAAATTAAGAAGGAAGTGCAGTCGCGTACATAATTGAATATAGACATGCAGCAAACTTTGGTTAGGACTATACAGCGATGAAACAGAAAATCCAGTAATTTATTTATGGGGACAATTTAGGAAGACTGATGTGACAAAATAACCAATATTCAGTTAAGAAGACTTTGCTAAATTGATTTAAAGAGAGGACGAAGATGAATTGATTTAAACATAAACAAGGACTATACATAAACCTAGAGAGTATAATATTTTTAATATATTTAGGGGTTTTAAATCTCGATTTATTGAGAAATAAATACCATTGTATAAAAATATGGAGTAGTCCTCTGAAATTGATTCAAAAAAGTAAGTGGACAGCAAAGTATTAACAAAACCAAATAAAATCAAATAGTATAAAAGCTAATCTAAATTTTAGATTTGGTCTTTAATAATCTCGTGAATCCCCTTCAAATGCAATGTTTGATGGTGAGGCAAAGCGAGTCTCGAAGTCGTATCTCTATAAGACTTGGCTTAAAGGAGAAGAAGCATAAAACAAGAAGTACAAAAAGCCAAGAAGAACAGAATCATACCATAAAGCAGCTGCTTAAAGGGAAGAAATAAAAAGTCAGTTGAAAGAAAGAGCATAAATAGCATTCAAAAGATATGAAAGTATGGGAAAGAGTATTTAATTTATTAAAACCTTAAGCATGGGAAAAATTTGGGGTATTTTCATAGGATATTCTGGATTTTAGAATGTAAACTTTAAAGGAAGCTAAAATCTAAAGATTGTATTTATTTAATAATAATAATTATAAAGATTGCTTGAGCAATAGGAACATGATCTTAAAAAGGTCGAATAGAATGAGTAATTAATTAATATCTATTTTTTAAAGACAGAGAGATCCTGACATGCTTACTCGATTAGTGAAAGTTATCACTAAACCTAATTCTGATAATAAGGAAGAAGTCAAAACGAACTTCGTGTATCATGAACAAAGACTGAAAGATATGAGAACAAGGACTAGATAAATTTAGAGAGCTGGATTTTGAATAATAATATTTATAAATTAATGCTATAGCGATAAAAACATGAACTTAAGGAATAATTTTAAGATAGAAAGAAAATATATGAATTAGTATGTAAAAAGAATGCAGATAGAGCAATAGTGATGAGCAATATTTATGTGAATATAAAATATATGGGAAACAAATATTCAAAAGAATTAGAAGATGAGTTGAATTAATATATAGCATAGTTATGAAAATTTGAGATATAAATTAAATCTTTTTTTTTAAAAAGTATTATGATCATCTAGGTGGGTCACCTTAATGGAGAGGTGAAAACATACAACTTAGCAGACTAGAGTACTGCAGCTGAATTAATGAATGTTTTGAACTCTGAATTAGCATGTCAAGTTCAATTGGTTTAATCTGGAGAATTAGTCAATGCATCCTCAATTTTGGCAGGAGAAAGAATCTATTATGTCACAGTTGACGCAGAAGGAGGTAAGAAAAAGAAGAAAAAGAAGAAGAACTTTGCCAAGCCCAAAAAGAAGAAGCACAGACACCGAAAAATTAAGTTGGCTACCCTCAAATTATACAATGTAGATAATAAGGGTGTTGTCCAAAGATCTCACAAATAATGTCCTTAATGTCCCTAAGGTGTTTACATGGCCAAGCATTTTGATAGACATTATTGTGGTACATGCCATTAAACCTTCAGAATGGATGAAGCAACAGTAAGCATAAAAACTATATTTTAAGATTAAAGCCAACTTAGAAGCAATCAAAAAATAATAAGCTGCCAAAGCTGCTGCAGCTGCAGCTGCTGCTCCAGCTGGTGGTGCCGGAGACAAAGGGGCTGCCGGAGGAAAAAAAGGCAAGAAGAAGTGAAACATATCATCTAGTATATTAATAAATAATTTAATAAATTAATACAATCTCAAAAATGTTCATCTTGATTAGAAAATAATTAAGTACTATCTTTTTATTTTGCAATAAAGGATTAGAATTTTAATATTATGAATTTAATAAAATAATGTTAATAATCAAATATTTCATGCATATGTTATTCAATTTTAGTTGGATATGCTATTATAATTACACTTATAGCTATTAAAGCATTCAGTAGATTGATGAAGTCTTCAACTANCTTAAAAAGATTGAATAGAATGAGTAATTAATTGATTTATTTTTATAGATAGAGAGATCCTGATATGCTTACTCGATTAGTAAAAGTGATTACAAAACCTAATTCTGATAATAAAGAAGAAGTTAAAACAAACTTTGAATATCATGAATAAAGACTAAAGGATATGAGAACAAGGACTAGATAAATTTAGAGAGCTGGATTTTGAATAATTATATTTATAAATTAATGTTATAAAGATAAAAACATGAACTTAAGGAATAATATTAGGATAGAAAAAGAATATATGAAATAGTATATAAGAAGAATGCAGATAGAGCAATTGTAATGAGTAACATATATGTTAATATAAAATATATGGGAAACAAATATTCAAAAGAATTAGAAGATGAGTTGAATTAATATATAGCATAGTTATGAAAATTTGAGATATAAATTAAATCTTTTTTTTTAAAAAGTATTATGATCATCTAGGTGGGTCACCTTAATGGAGAGGTGAAAACATACAACTTAGCAGACTAGAGTACTGCAGCTGAATTAATGAATGTTTTGAACTCTGAATTAGCATGTCAAGTTCAATTGGTTTAATCTGGAGAATTAGTCAATGCATCCTCAATTTTGGCAGGAGAAAGAATCTATTATGTCACAGTTGACGCAGAAGGAGGTAAGAAAAAGAAGAAAAAGAAGAAGAACTTTGCCAAGCCCAAAAAGAAGAAGCACAGACACCGAAAAATTAAGTTGGCTACCCTCAAATTATACAATGTAGATAATAAGGGTGTTGTCCAAAGATCTCACAAATAATGTCCTTAATGTCCCTAAGGTGTTTACATGGCCAAGCATTTTGATAGACATTATTGTGGTACATGCCATTAAACCTTCAGAATGGATGAAGCAACAGTAAGCATAAAAACTATATTTTAAGATTAAAGCCAACTTAGAAGCAATCAAAAAATAATAAGCTGCCAAAGCTGCTGCAGCTGCAGCTGCTGCTCCAGCTGGTGGTGCCGGAGACAAAGGGGCTGCCGGAGGAAAAAAAGGCAAGAAGAAGTGAAACATATCATCTAGTATATTAATAAATAATTTAATAAATTAATACAATCTCAAAAATGTTCATCTTGATTAGAAAATAATTAAGTACTATCTTTTTATTTTGCAATAAAGGATTAGAATTTTAATATTATGAATTTAATAAAATAATGTTAATAATCAAATATTTCATGCATATGTTATTCAATTTTAGTTGGATATGCTATTATAATTACACTTATAGCTATTAAAGCATTCAGTAGATTGATGAAGTCTTCAACTAGTATTCAAGAATTAATTCCAATGATATTATGCATAGTATAATCTCTCTTACATTTAATTCAATATGCTGTGACAGAAAATAATACCTTATAAATAATTACTCTTTATTTTTAAATACTTATTTTCACTTCAATTTCTTTTTTATTTGCAAAGCTATGCTATTAAGTTAAAAGTGGAATTCTTATTTTGAAAAACTTTAAAATTTTTAAGATTCTACAATTTGTTTTTTATGGAATAATTTTAATATTTCAAATATTTGCTTTGGTTTTTTCTAGCTAAGACTCATGTGATCGGTAATTTTTTATTAAAATCTAGATATTATTATTTTAGTATAATTTTAATTATTGTTTAACAGATTACTTCAACTATAATAACAACTTATTTTGGAATAAATTTACTTTAAAAACTAAAAAGAGTCAGCTAATTTATATAGTGTAAAACCATGAATCCAAAAGCGTATAAAATAAATTAAATTTAGTGTTTATGATTCATATGCTAATATGTCTTTGTGTAATTCAAGAGCTACAATTATCGAACCAAGAGAATTAATTTAGACAAGAAAACAAATTATAATTGTAATCTATTTAATGATAATAACTATACTATTCTATATATCATTTATTTTAATAGCTATATTAATATTCAAAAAAGTGACTTGCCAACATTAAATAGATAATAATAATTAGAATTACTTAATATTGGTTTATGGAATCATTTAAATGACTCCTTGTTTAGTCATTCCTTACGCATTTGGATTTATACCGTAAGTCTAGGTTTAAGGAGATTATAATGATTGCCTAATAATTTTAGATTAGTCTTAAGCAAAATCTAAAGACTCAATTCAAATTTGAATTTAGATAAAATAAGTAACAAAGATTTTTAAATGACAAATTATTGATTTCATTTTTTAAATATAATTAATCCATATCCTTATTAATATTAAAACAATAATATGCTCAAATTTTTATTTGCTTACATTTTTTTATTGAGATAACAAGTGCTAGGCATATGTTAATATTTCGATTGTATAATGTTAAAAAATTATAAATTTTTCTTAAAAAATGCGATTTTTAAATACTATTTATTAAATTCATATTAATTCATTTATCAATTCTAAAATTTTGATCTCAACAATTTAAGAATAATGTTCTTAAATAAATGGTTTAAGAATATATTAGAATTTATCTTCAAAATTGAATTATTTATCAATAATTTATTGTGTTATTTCAATAAATTAATCAAAAGAATTAAAATATCCTTGATGTTTAAAATAAGTAATAGCAGCAGATTCATATAAATTTTATAATTCTTCTTAACTTAATGGATAATCTTCATATTTAATAGAGTCTCTTAATATTTCTTATTGCTCATTTAAACTTTGAAACATTTGTGAAATTAATTAATTCAATTATTGTTCTAATTTTAATTTAAAGATGCAGTTTAAATGTTTTAATTCATATTTTTTGTTTTTTTTATGTTTATCAGCATGCATACCTAGAGATATTAAACCTTATTTGAATTAATAATATTTTAACAATTAATTTAAAATAGTGTCTAAAGGTGATAAATTATAATTTTATTTAATATATTCTGAAACAAACATTTCTAATTTCTAATAATCATTTTAATTCTAAACAAAATCATCTTTTGTATCAATATTCAAATCAATCTAATTTTATTAATCAATGTTTTTTGGATTTTTATAATAATCATTAAATTTTTATTAAAATTATTGAAATTCTTATTTAAGTTCTTTTTCATAAATTTTATAAGGTTTATTTGATTCAATAAAATAATAACATGATGGAATATCATTACATAATTATAAAAGTTTAGTAATTAATTAAATAATTTATGATTTATCTTATTCATCTTATTTTTATAAAGGAAATGAATAAAATAATTGATAATCTAAAAAAGATCGTTTAGATAATTCTAATCTTTGGTCATGTTATTAATTGAATATTAACCATATATGATATTAATTGATATTTTAATATTTTAGTTTTTCTATTAAATCTAATAATTTATGAATAAGACTAAATATTTATCCATGAGTAAATCTAAATAAAAGAAGATCCTAAAAATCATAATTAAATATGAATTACAATATATGTAATGATTTCATTTAAAGGAATGCAATTAACTCTATCAAATTCTAATTTAATTATATCATTCATTTCATCTTCTCCAGAACTTACAATTTTTACACAATATGGTAATGTTGCTATTAATTAATTCTTATCTATTTCGCTCTTTTTAAAATATTAATGAGTTTTTATCTTAAGAGATTTCATAAGTTAAAATTTTATATCAAATTATTTCTATTAAAAAAATAAAATCAGATTAAAGGATATAATTTATGAAGTAAGTCTTAGGAAATTTGCCATCATAGATTAAAAACACAATATTGAAACGATTGTCTAATAATGAATCACTTTTAGAGTATAAAATTCAATAGAATACTGATTGTAAAGAAGCATTTGAATGGGATCTAGATGCATCTTAAATAAATCAAACTGCTTTAGCATAAATAGTTTCTGCTGATTTTAGAGATAGCACTATAACATTAAGTTACGAAAAATAATAATTACTTAATAAAGTAGAAAAAAAAAATGAGCTTAATCATTTATATATTCTATTCCAATTGTTGGAGGCTTGCTATGAATTACATAAGAAATCTATATTAGGAAGATGCTTATCTACATCAACAATAGAGATTGATTCAAGTTCATAGATAAAAATATATAGATATGGATTTAGTCATAATTTAATTAATAATGATGAAATAATACTATTAGCTCCTGAAACGATTTTCGAAGATAAGGTTTAAATAAGTAGTGATATATGGTTAATAGGAACGATTATCTATGAATTAGTATTTCAGAAATCGATTTCTTAATTTAAATATCCTTAATAATTTGAGTAATATAAAAATTTCATCAATATTTGCATGTAAGCCAATACATTTGATGATTTATGTGACAACTTAGTAGATCCTAATATTTCTGTAATTTTGTAATTACTTTTAATTTTTGATGCTGAAACAAGAGTATAATCATATTCAGCAGTAATTCTTCTAATGAAAGAGTATTTTAATATTTGATATTTCAAGATTTTTACCAAAACATAGAGCAAAATTAGATGAGATTTTAAGATTCTATGAAAATGATATGATGAATGCAAATATCATGATTATTTAAAGAAGTGAAAAAAGAGACCCCCCTTAAAAATATAGATAAAAAAATATAAAATCAAAATCTGTTGAAAGCAAATAATAAAATTTGGAGAATTTATCACATGCAAATAGTAGAATTAATCCTTTAAACAAAATGAAAGAGTTAAGATATGCTTACACTTAAATAGTCTAACCAGTTGATAAAATTTATACTTTGTAAATAGTTCATAAGGAAAATCTAAAAGAAGAAAACATCAAATTTTGTTAAAATATCAATTTTAAACTTTATCAAATATCTTTTTTAATTAATTTAAGAAAATAAATTTCTTACTTCACAAAAAAGACAGAACTTTTGAATATAGAAAAATATTTATTTATAAAGACTGAGTAAATAATTAATTTACTCATCACTAATATTAAAACAATTAAGAATATATTGTTTATATCAGAATTAAATTATATTTAGAAATAATTAAATTTAATGAAAACAACTTCCCAAGAAATTACAAATATTTATAACAAGATTCCTGCATAGTTTTTAGAGGGTACATTAGAAAATTAAATAAAATAATTATAATAAACTCTTCAAAATAATAACCTAATAAAACATATTACTACAGAAATTATGCTTAGAATTTTAATTGCTTAGAATATTGAATATTATTTAGCTGATAAATAATCAGTTAATTTATTTTTGTTCCCAATGAAATTCTATTTGGGTTTGAGTGAAATTACAGAACCAGAAGAAATTGAAAGATATCTACAAAGATCTACGGTTAAATAGTAAATTTACATGTAAAATGTTCTAATGAATTACAAGAAATAGTAGTAAATTTATTGATTTAGTAGGTATTTATCAAAATAATAAATAATGAATTATTTATAATAATTATTTAAAAAAATTCTAGTTTGAAAAGACAAATGTGTAATAATAAATGAATTGGTTCTAATTATTATTATAGAGAGATTAACCTATCTTATTAGATGAATCTAATTGATTTAGTTTTTTCAGCAAAGTTCTAGAAATTATTTTTAACACCTAAATCAATAAAAGTTAATTTAATGAGAATAAAGAAAATATTAAAATATTTCATTCAGTATTTGAAATTGTAGATATAATTACAGAAATATATAGACTAAATATAATTAATGTTAAATAATAAAAAATTTTAAAATAACTAAAGTATAACAAATTTAGAATTTTGATCAAACTTAATTTTTGTAATATATAAAATGTGAATTCTAAAAATTTATTTATGCAACATTGTATAATACAAAGAAAATATTTCAACTTTTAAGAATTTGAATCATTTTTCCATTCTTAAAAGTATTGTTATTATCATTATAATAATTCAAAGCATATTCTCCCATATCATTCTTTATATCTTGAAGAAATTTTGATAATATAATAGATAATTTATAAAGAAAAATAACAAATATCAAAATATATACTTTTAGAAGACTTTCAGTTTGAATTAGAATAATAATTAATTTTTCTACTTATTAAAGATCAAATGTGGTAGGAATCTATTCATTTATATTTGCACCTCTTTTATTGGTTAATTAATATTTTTCTACAAAAATATTATCAACCAGTTTCAAAAATTTTAAATTAGCTGGAATATTTTGTCGATAAAAAGTAGTTAACTGCTTAAAATTTATCATTTTCCAACTATAATTAACAAATTAAAAAAGAAAAATACAAAAATCTTTTTTAATATTTTAGTGCTCTTTCATGATACTAATTGTTACAATTAAATGAATAAATTTATATAATAGAACATTTTCAATATTTAAAAAATTAATAGTAAATATTTTTGTACACTTTAAATAAAACAAATAAAATTTTTAAAACATTTAATGATACATGAATAGATATTTATTTCTTACTTTATGTAAATAATATATTATAATGATTAATAAATAGAAATAGTGAAATTAAATATAAAAATTGAAAATATTGAAATGATTTAAATACGATAGAACATTTGTTGTTACTTTATTATTAAAATTATGTATATGAACTAAGAATATGTAATTTATATTAACTAACTACTAGATCTAAAGTTTAATTCAATTTATTCATAATCCAATAAACATTTATTAACATAAGTACTTTAGGAGAGTCAAGTAAAGATAAAAAATTTAGAGAAAAATTATGGCGATATAATATAAACAAATACAGATGATACTGAATTAATGGAAGAGCAATTTTAGGCAGTATTAATAGTATTAAGTTTATATAAAATTTTATTAGTAATATAATGAAATAAGAAAAGATGATTTATGACTTAAAAAGGAAAATAAGTAAATTTAATAAAATTTAACATTTAGTAAAAATTAAATATGAGGCACTTAATGTAACTCATAATTTAAAGAGGGTAAAAGTTTAAAATTAATATTGATAAGAATTGTGAATGCTTATCTTTAGAGAAATTTATAGAATTGAATAAATATATAATATATAATTTTTCATCTTAATATTAACTAAAAAATAAGATACATAAAATAAATTTATCATTTTACTGTTAAATAGCAGTTGTGACGGTCAAAAAAGATTGTTTATCTTAAAGAGAAATTTAAATCAAAATAACAGAATTTTAACTAGGTTAATTAAATTGTCAATATAACAAATTTGCCGAAAAACGCACAGTTTATTTCTGCTTTAATTCTTAATTGAGAAGTTAAGGATTCAATTCATTATTATGAGTTAATAATTTTAAGTAAAGGGAACAAAAACAACTTATATCGTTTATGATAAGGTACTTGGAAAAGGAGCTTATGGTGTTGTTTTATTAGCTTAAGCTATAAATTCTGTTAGCTAATTTGCTGCAAAAATTGTATAAAATCAATTTTTCATTATTTAAGATAAGCAAAAAATCACTCAGTCCAACTGATATTGTGAATTTAAGAAATGAAATAAATATACAATCAAAATTATCTCATCCTAATGTTGTTTCCATGGTTGATGCTTTTGAAGATAATGAATACCTATATATGTTACTTGAATATTGTAATGGTGGATGCTTATTCACAAATATCTAATTAAGTGGACCATTAAGAGAAGAAAAAGCACATAAATATTTTGTTTAAATTGTATAAGCTGTACAATATTTACATTAAAAGAATTTTCTTCATCGAGATATCAAAGTAAGCTAGTTTGTTTATTTTAGCTCTCAAACCTACTTTTAACCCATGATGATTAGATTAAATTGGCTGATTTTACATGGAGCACATCTCTTTCTATGGGTTATGTAGCTCCTTAAATATGTGGTACACTAGAATATATGCCACCTGAAGTGATAAAAAATGGTTTTTAAAATGAAAAATTAGATATTTGGAGTTTAGGAATAGTCCTCTATGTATATATTTATTGTATTCTTTTAAGGAAATGCTTCATAATGATCTTCCTAAAAATGGATAATTTTTTATTAAACATGGAATTAGCGAAGAATGCAAATAATTAATGAAATAGATGTTAGAAGTAGAAACCTACAAAAGACCTTCAACTTCAGAAGTGCTTTCAAGTTCATGGGTCAAAAAATTTTAGAGAAATAACGGGCTAACAATCAATACTTGTAGAAGTCTTTCAGGATTTACAGACAAATTAGCTTCCCCTCAAAAGACAGCTTTATTGGGTTCTCCAATGGGATCACCATTAAGAACTGCCTTTGGTTCGCCCTTTGGATCACCAATGACATCACCTTTAAATTCTCCATTGGGCAAATGCACTTTCGGATCAAAACACGTGCCAACCGAGCCAGTTTCAAAATAGAGAGTTAGTACTCAAAAACTTTGCTGAGTTTTAACTTTATATCTTTCTATTCAAATATATCAATAACTCATTCTGTCAAATTTGGATTAATACACTAATATTCATAAAACATATTTTATAATTAAATTGAATTTATACTACTATGTCATTACAGTTTTCGTTTTTCTATTTATAATATGTAGTATTCTATTTATAGTATCATATAAAAAATGAGTAATTTAGAGAGAAACTTCTTTTAATTAATTAGTTCAACAATCAAACTATTGAATATAAATCTTATAAGTCAAAATAAAGACTTTCTATATAAATTGAATATTTAATACTATTCTAAAAAAATTTACTTTTTTGATAATTTGGGAGTATTGATTTGATTGATTTTGTTATATGAATCTAATGTGATATGATATTTTCAATTACCCTATTTAGATAATTTCATTTGATTTATACGATTATTATTCTTATACTTCTATTAATATCTTTTTGTACAAATTTTTATTATTTAGATATAGAATACTTTAGTATACCTTATTCAAATTATTAAAATAAACTGCTTCAACTTATAGATGAGTTTTTATATTAAATTAATATCTATGTTAATCATTAATTATAAAATAATTCATTATAAATAATACAATGATTAAAAAATTACCTTAAGAAGTAATTAATAAAATTGCTGCAGGAGAAGTAGTTTAAAGACCTTATTCAGTAATAAAAGAGATGGTTGAAAATTCAATTGATGCTCATGCATAAAACATAACTATTTATTTAAATAATGCAGGATTAGACCTAATTAGAATTATTGATAATGGAGATGGAATTATGAAGGAAGATTATGAATTATTATGTGAAAGATATGCTACAAGTAAGATTAGAGTTGCTGAAGATTTATTACAATTATTTTCATTTGGATTTAGAGGAGAAGCACTAGCTTCAATATCTTTTGTGTCCGAAATGACAGTGATCTCTAAAAGGAGAGATCAACAAGTAGGATACAAAGCTACATATAATAGTTAGAAACTATTGAGCATGTCTCCTATAGGGTGTTCAGATGGTACAGAAATTTAGATAGCATCATTATTTTATAATTTAGAAAAAAGGAGGTAAGCATTAAATAAATCAGAAGAAAAAAAATCTATATTATAATTGATTTAGAGTTTAAGTCTTCATCATTCTTCAATTTAATTCAAATTATTTTATGAGAATAAATGTGAGTTCTCATCTTTCAATAGATTAGATACTATATCATCTATAATGAAAATTAATTAATCATGCATTTAAGAGAAATCATTTAATTCTGACATATATAAATATGAATCTCATTTGATGTTTACAAAGTTGAGTTCTGTTAAATATAAAAGAGAATTATGTTTATTTATAAATGATAGATATGTAGATTGTGATACATTAAAAAAGAAAATAACTCAAGCCTATTAAGATTGCTATTTATGTTTAAGAGTTGAAGATGGAGGTTATTATGTATATTTGAGTATAAAATTATAACCAAAAGATATAGATCCAAATGTTCATCCAAATAAAAAAATTGTTAGGTTTTTGAATGAAGATGAAATTAGTACTGAAATATCAGAAAAATTAAAATAAGAATTATCCCCTTAATAAACAGTTAAATTAATACAGACTGTATTATTCTAACCAAAGTCTTAAGAAGAGCAGAAAAAGAATAGCTTTAGCTTTAAATAGTCAATTTAAAGTTAATAACAATATTAAAAAGAGAAGGTTAGGATAGATCCAAAGACTTAAACTTTAATATAATAATTTGCAAGAAAATCATAAGTCTAATTAGCATAGAATGTAATTGATTAAATTCCAAATACTTAATCATAAAAAATTGAAGAAGAAAGCAATTTAATAAATGATTAGAATATAAAAAATGAAAATCCTGATTTGGATGATTAATTAAACAAAAATCAAAGTTTACAAATTAATTAGATTAATTAAATATCTAAAATATTAGAAGAAAAAGAGTAAACATAAATTTCTAAAGGAGAACGCTTTAAACTTTCTCTAGAATCTTAATTAGAATTATTTAATATTTTATAGAAGAAGCATCATAAAGATACATATGAATTTTATAAAAATATCTCTTTTGTAGGATTATTATAAGATTAATAACAATTATTAGTTTAAAATGATACTAAATTATGTCTAATAAATGTTATTCCTATGATATTTAATATGATTATTGTTTAAATTATGTAAGGAGAATAACCAGAAGGAGTCTTATTAATGGAAAAATAATAAGATTCTGTATTAAAAGTAATTCGTTTAGATTCATCAGAATTTCTATTAAAGATTAATCAAAATGATATAGATATAACAATTTAATTGGCAGAACACTTATCTTTATTAAATTACAGTAATGAATTTATTAGAGATTTTGTACTACCCTTTTTCAAAAAATACAATGTTGCAGTAATATAAAATGATGTCCAAGTAGTACTGAGATTGGAGGATTTATATAAGTATTTTGAAAGATGTTGATCAGTATATGATTTATTTAATTATTTACTACTTGTTAATCAAATATATATTCTTAGATATATTAATGTAAATATGATTAATTTAATGTTTGTTTATCATTAATTAGATTAAATATTGAAAATAACAAATGTAAATTGGAAACAAAGTTTTTGTTTTTACTTAACAAGATTTCTAAAAATGTTTTGTTGTTAACTTAAATCCTCCTTTAGGTTAAGGACATGATGCAAGAGTCTATTTAGCTATGCATAAAAAAACAGGAGAAATGTTTGCTTTGAAAGTTTTAACTAATCTGTCACAAGATCATATCATAAATCTCTAGGTTTTTTTACATGTTATTTAGCGAACGAAATTCAAATACTTAAACGCATTAGTAATCCAGGAACAGTCTTATTAAAGGGACATTCTGAAGATTATACTTGTGTTCTTTTGGAGTACATGCCAAATGACACATTTTTAAAGATATTAAAAAAGGGACCATTCCCATTTCCTTTAGCAAAGACTTTATCAGGCTATCTTATTAAAGTCTTAGGAACTCTTCATAATGCCGGAATAGCTCATTGTGACATAAAGCCAGAAAATATTTTGATTGCCGCTGATTATAATCTCAAATTGTGTGATTTTGGATTTGCAAGACTCTCAAATTAAAATTTAAGACCTGCTGGAGGAACTCCTGGATATACTGCACCAGAATTATATATAAATGAGACAATGAATCTATTTAAATGTGATATATTTGCTTTGGGAGTAGTAATATTTATAATTGTGATGGGATTCCCTCCATTTTAATCAAATGATCCTAATTCAAGAGATGGATGGTGGGCATTAATCTATAACAAATAATATGATTTATTCTGGAACAAATGTGAAAGTTTTAGATAACAGCAATTTCCTAAAGAATTTAAGATTATGATAATGTCAATGTTAGAAAGTGATCCAGATAAGAGGATATCCTTAAATACATTATTAGAACATGAATTCTTATAGGATGGAGCAACTGAGGAAGAAGTATTGATAGAGATAGAGAAAAGAGTGAAGGAATGAATGAAATAAGGGAATAATTATGATTATTATTAGAAACATATTAAAAAATCATTTATTCTAAAAAATAATACACATTTATAATTGTATTTTTAAATTACATTCTAATTTTGGATTTAGTTTTTATGTATATATATTTATATAAATAATACCTCTCAATTTTTTGAGGGAACTTAAAAATTTAAAGGTTATATCTTGGAGAATTTCCATTCATTGTTTGATTGTTCAATTTATTATTGTCTATCAATGAATAAAATCATCACTAAGATTAACACATTATTATTAATTTATTATCTATGCAAAGGCCTCTCAAACCAATAACCATATCTTAACCCATAATTCAAAAAATAGAGAACACAAGATCAGATTGCTCTACTGATGATGATCTTAGTTATATTGAAACTTTGAGGGCCGAAGCTCAAAATCCTATGATAAAGAACTTCTTGGGAATAGAGTGCCTTGTTGATGACATACATGATTTAGAAGAATTCCTTAATTCTCTTGATTGAAACCAATGATTAACAAGGGAAAAGCAATCAATAGCATGACTCTTGGTTTGACTGATTATAATACATAAACTTTTAATCAAAAACATTTTTCAAAATCTTACTTACATCTTCATATTGACAAGCCATTTGGTAGTGTTAAACAATAAATTACATTATTACATATGAATCAAAAATAATAAGGAAAAGCTGTATTTTATTTTATAATATGAACATTTTGTAATTTGTTCATCTATCTAATATTGACAATCCAAAAGAATAATAGAATATAATCATTGAATCTTCTGTATTGATAACTGTAGACTATATGAATTTTTATATGTTCTTGGTTTATTATGATAAATGGATATATATTGAAAATAAAATCATCAGTGAATTGACAATTTTTATAGAAATAACCAAATGAAGTTTAGATAAGAATTATAAGATCATTTGATATTGAGATATGAAGAAATAATCATACATAGACTTTAAGAAATCTGAAAATATCTGAAGTTTAATTATATTTCTAGAGTTTTCTAAACTATTATAATTTTTATAATTAAAATTAACCATTTAAATATTTGAGCAATTATATATTGTTATGTCTATTTAAGGTAACTAAAATAAATTGTTATAATAATCATTAAGTTTATTAATAAATACTTAAAATATAAAATAATTTAGAATGCATAATAAAATTGAATATAATAATCAATCTTAATAATCATCATCAACTAATGATTAAATCTAATTTTAATTTTCCTATTTAACAGTTAAATCATCTTTATTTTCTTCTTTTGTTACACCAACTTTCTCTCCATCTTTTTCACAACATACCTACTTTTTTATAAATTTTGGTTTCACTTATTATTATACTTATTTTGTTTATTATTATACTACAACTTATTTTAAATGTTAAGTAACACTATGCATAGTTTTATCCCTAAATATAATTATATTAATATACTCTTTTTCATTTGTATCTGATAATCTTTTTACTTTAAATTATTCTTTAAATCCTTTTGATTTTTCCCATTCTTCTTGTAATTCTAAAGCATCTAAATCATAAAATAGTTATTTAAGCAACATGTCAGGAGTAAATTAAGTTTATCTTCTATTTAGTTAATGAGTATCATCTATAGCATCTAGAATGTCCATTTCTTTTTTTGAATCATGAGTTTTATTTTCTAAAAATTTCATAGAATCTCCTTATTCTTCATTGGCTCTCATTTATTTAAGAACTTCTTCTGCTGCTTTTGCATCTCTATAAGGATCATAATTTCTAGTTCCTCCTCCTTCAACTATGTAATCATGATTTCTTGGATCAGTTTTAAAAGTAATTTCAGCATAACAATAACTAAAATATATAGATTAGATTTAAATACGTGCATTTAAAATAGAATCGATGAATAAGAATACCTAGATAGTTTTCAGTCCATACTGTCTCTTTTCTCATATTAAATTTAGTTCCAATATAAAGATAATTACCACAATGATTACATTTTACAGTCATAGGAAGCATATTTCTCACATTATCTTATTTTCCTTTTGGACGATGATTATTTGGTAATAACTTAGGATCAAAATCAGGTGGATAATATTTAACTAGAACTTTTCTTTCTGCCATTAAATAATAATATTAATGATAGAGATCAAAAAAATTATTAAGTCAACCTCTGTAGATACTACAAATAAGACAACTTAGAATAAAATCAATAATTCAACTAAGTCAAATAATAATTAAGAAGTACAAAAGGATTTCTAAAAATTACAAGCTATTCTTGAATCAAAACCTAAAATTGAAAAAACCTCAAAATCCAATACTCTTATTAAGAGTTAGTAACAAAACCTTATTGAATTAAAAACAAAAGAGCATAATGGAAATAAACAAAATAATAATGTGATAACCTAGAAACATGATGAATTGAAAAAGTAAACTAAAGAGCTTGTAGTTAAACAAAAAGATAATGAAAAACACAAATAAAAATAAGAGATAACTAAATTTGAAAATATTAAGAAACAAATTAAACCTAATTCTCAATAATTACCTAAATAGAAAGAAGAGAAGGAATCTTCTTATTAACCATTAAAAATACATAAGCCTGTGATTAAAGAAAAGGTTATTTCGAAAGATGATGATGAATTAAATGAGGATAGAAATTAGATCATAATCTAAAAAAAAAATCAATAACATACAGAAAAATAAAATTAGACATAGAAACCTAATATAGATGTATTAAAATAAGGATTGCCTTAAATTTCAGGATCATAGAATTAGTAAACAGACAAATAATTACCGAAGAAAGTTCTTGGTGATCAAAAGTTAATGTAATTATTATTAAATGCATCTAAAACTAATACTAAGAAGAAGAGTAAAAATAAAGATAAGAAAGATTAAGGAAATTTAAAGGATTCTAAGAATTAAAATCAATAAATAAATTAATCTGTTAAAAAGGATAAAATCAAAGAATTATAGAATTAAAAAACTAAACCTTTTTCAATTAAACCATAAATCAAAGATTTAAGTATTTTAAAAAATAAAAAACAAAAGAATTAAGTTAACGATGATTATGACTTAAATGATTCTTTTATTAATGATTCAGAAAGTGTAGATGTAGAAATAGATCCTAATGAAATAGTTAGTGAATTAAAAAAATTACAAAGGTATTTTTTGAGTTTAAGAGTGTAGAAAAAAAGAAGGAAGAAAGTAATATGATTTTGATGATGATATTGAAGAGGCAGGTTTCGATATTATGTAGAAAGAAGAAAAGAAATCTAGAGTCTTAGGAATAATAGATGATTATAAAGAAGAAAAGTATATAAAGAAGGAGATAAAAAAAGAAAAGAAATAAAAGAAAAAGTTATTGGAAATGAAAACTAAATAAGATAAATAATAAGACTGATTGGTAATGATTAAATTTTATAATTTAATGATATAAAAACATATAAATTGAATACTAATTTCTTAGCAATGATAAATATAATAAAAATTTGTTCATTTAGTTATTGCTTTAATGATATCCATTACAAATTCAGGTTTTCTACTTACAACTTTAGGAGATCCAAAAATGTCATCATCATCTCTTTCTTCAAATGACATAACATAAACATGAGTTTGATTTCTATAAATATTATTGAAATTATTATTACTATTGATTGAAAATCATGTTTCCTTTGTGTCCTCCAATAATCCATAATTCATTACCACTTCCCATAGTATCAGCTGCACAATAACATCTTGGAATTGGAATAGTTCCATGTATTTTCGGTTTAGTCCTAATAATATATAATTGAAAAGTATTACCAAACTAAAGTTTCTGGATTGAAATGATAGAGATCGCCGAGAATGTCATTAGAATGTTCACCTCTTCCTCCATAGATGAATAAGTGGCCACCTAAAGCACTTCCTAAATGTCCATGTCTTGGAGAAGGTGGTTCTCCCTTCATTACAGGAGTTAAATTAGCCCAACTAGCTTCTTTTGAAAAATCCAGAATCCACAAATCATTAAAATTTGGAGTATAATGACCTTCAGGAAGTGACTGACCTCCAAAAATATAGAGTTTATCTTTAATTTAAGTGGCAGAATGAGCAGATCTTGGTGGAGGCTTGAGTGCATGTTCATCTAGATCATAACTATAATTAGATAGAAATAAATACTGAGTCCACATCATGGTAGTTAGATCTAGACAATAGATATCATTATAAGTTTTTTAAACTTCAAGATCATGGCTACAATAGTATCCACCAAAATAAATTAATGATTGGTAATTGGAAAGCAAAGTCAAAGAGGCTTTTTCTCTTGGAGATGGAATTTAACCTTTAGGTTTGCTTTAGATCCAAGTTTTTGAAGTAGTGTTGTAAACATAATAATCATCAAAGACTTTGTCTGAATTAAGTCCACCATAATAAATTATCTTATTTCCATATTTAATTGCACTAGATAATGTGGATAAATTACTTATGGAATGCTCTTGGATCAGGAATTGGTCCTTTAGTGTCCTCTACAACTCTGAGTTCTTTTGTTCTTGGATTGAGGATGTGAAGATCATTTTTAAAGTTATGGCCTGTTCCTCTACCACCAAAAATGTAGAATTCATTTCCAATACCTGTCATTGTTAAACCATGAATTCTTTCATATTTCTTTTAGATTTAATATTGAGTAAAATAGACATTATCGTAGTTTTATGGATGATAATGTAATTATTTTCTATTGACATGAAGAATGTTATTTTTGGATTAGAAATTATTATCAATGGTTGGTAAAGTTTCATCATAGACATATTATCCTGCAATTAGAAATTTGTATTGATATGAACCAGGAGTCAGATGCAAATATGCATAATTGATATACTTTTTTGCAAAACCTAAAAATTTTCTATTCAATTTGATTGGTTGTTTCCATTCATCCCAAGATCCCATTACAAACATCTCATTCCAATCCAAATATGTACGTACCTTTACTTTCATTAAGTCTTGCTAAGATTGATAAGAGCCTCTTTACTTTATAATTTTATCTAAACTGAACATCTTCATCTGTGTTTGGCTCTTGATCATCAGAACTATCTACTTGAATCAACTTCCTTGGTACGACTTCCAACTATATTTATAGTGGTTTCTTAGTACCCAATTATTATAAGTCCCAAAATTATTGTAAATTACATCTGCATTAGGATCATGTTTCCAAATTCCATCAACATTGAACTTATATTAATGGTAACCTGGAGGTAAAGGTGGATTAATTTCAGCTTATAAGAAACTAAAATAGCATAAAAGAAAGTACTAAGGAGGCTACTTAGATTTCATCATTGGGTACCCAACTTGGAAATGACTCCATGACCCATATAGAGTAACGACATTTCCTTCGTATTTCCATTCAATCACAGTTGAGTTTACTGCACATTCCTGATCTTCGTGACGATTGCCACATTATTTGCAATAATTTGATAGCATATTAAATTATTGCTAAGGTATTTAAATGAACTCACTAATATAATAGGCAAATGATTTTTTTATATGTATAATTAAAATTATCAAATTGATATGTATTTATCAAAATTTAGATTAAATATGAAATATAAATCATTATTGTAATTCTATTGTGCTCTTTTTTGCATGCAATTAATTTTAATGATATCAATAATTTGATTAATATAAATAGTTGATGATTATCAGAAATAATTAGAATGAATATTTAATTTGAATTGATCATAATAGCGCGTATTTATTTATCCTAAAAAAGAAAGTGAGGGTATTTTTGAAATTCAATAAATAAAATGGATAAGAAGTTTATAATTGTCTCCTTAGAAGGAAATGTAGGTGCAGGCAAATCAACCTTATTTGAGATTTTGAGACAAGAATTCCCTAAGGCTATTTTCCTAATGGAGCCTTTGGAATAATGGTAAAAAGTGCATGGTAACCCTAATCTTAACATTCTGGAGAAGTACTATTCAGATATTCAACGTTGGGGTTTTACATTTTAAATTTATGCTTACTAATCAAGATTAATGGCTTGGGACAGATAATTAAGAGCAGTATTAAAAGAACAAAAATTACAACAGATTGACAATCAATTTTCTTCTCCATCTACAAATGCTGATGATGAACCCATCCTTGTGTTTACAGAGAGAAGTATTGAGAGTGCAAGGGAATTATTTTTCAAATTGTGTTATAATGATGGAACAATAAATGAACTTGAATATCACATTTATGAAGAGTTTTATGAGTGGCTCATGGAACACTATAAGCAATATTTAGTGGATTGTGTTATTTATGTTAATACTCCTCCTGAAACATGTTTAGAACGTCTAACACGTAGAGGTAGATAAGAAGAAGCATGTGTGCCATTAGATTATTTGAGAAAGTTACACTAAAGACATGAAGATTGGCTTTCTGATACTAATAATAAATTCAAAATTATTAATATTGATGCTACCAAAAACTACGTCAAGGATTTAGATATAAAAGAAGCTGTTCGTAGATAATTAATTGATGAAATATCCACTTTGATTGATTGATTGATAAGTATACTAATTTATCAAACATTTTTTTATTTTAATTTACATGAAGAAAATTATATAAGAGAACTTATCTCTTGAAAAGGCTAAAACTCTATGGAAATATATTGATGATGCTTGTTATTATATTGCTGAATATCAAAGTATAAAATACTAGATTGACGTTTATATTTAAGGAACTATCTTTTGCAGAATTGTATCAACAAACATATAAGTTGATTCTTAATAAATTTGGAGATATTGCATATTCTTAAATACAAATTACTATTCATAACATTGTTGACAAATTCATCTATCCCCTAAACATTAGTAATGCTGATTAACTATTATGAAAAGATTCAATATTTTAGCAAACATTGGCTGCTTTATATTGTAAATTTCCTTAATTTATGAAATTGGATAAATCTTAAATACTATTGAAATCTCTTTAGAATATAAAAACTATTTGTAATGAAAGTTTTAAAATTAAATGTTTTGAGAAAGACTAAAATCTAGCTTCAAAGTTACTCAATTGTTTTCTTATTCAAATACGTTATGATATGTTTAGTGATTTACAGAGAAGCAATGAAGATAGTTAAAATTTCAAAGAGATATTGTCATAAAGTTCAAGAGATACAATTGACTTAGATATTTTAGTTCTTACATTTGAATAATGGCCAATCACTGACTTTTGACCATTTATCATTCATACAGAATTATTAAACTGGCAATAACAATTTACTTAATATTATTAATGCAAGAATTCAAAGAGAAAATTGACGTTTAATTATAGACTAGGTTCTGTATCTCTTAAAGCCATTTTTGATTAAAACTGTAAAAAGGATTTTGTAAGCACTTTTTATAAACAAACTATTTTAATGTATTTCAATAGATAGCGTATATATAAAATTGATGAATTGATTAAATTAACCAATACTGACTAAGAAATTATGTAATCAGAATTGGAGAATCTTAAATCGTTTAAATTATTAATTTATAATGAAGAAGGGAATTCATTAAAATTAAACTAAAAATTCTAACATAGAAGTTAAAAAATTAAGGTCTAATCAAAAAAATAATAAGCTTTTTCTTTAAGTTAGAAATCCAAAACTAAATTATAGGAATTCAAAATAGATTAAAAAGAAATAGTATTAGATAGAAGAGTTTATTTGGAATCTTTGATTGTTAGAGTCCTCATAAGAAAAAAGTAGATGGATCACAAAGATCTATTTATAATTAAATATAATTTTAAAAATTAGCAATTATTAGCATTTATTATAGATATTCAATATTTATACTACTAGGATAGAATTATTTTTATATATAGAAATCTTTTATTTAATTTAAGTATGAAATCTCCCATATAATAAATTGCGAAAATTTAATAGATTCTTGATTGATTTAATAAAATGATCAGAATATTCATATATAATCTGTTTTATTTATTTATATATATATATAAGTTTTATCATTATATATTACAGGCTATGTATTCTTCTGTTTTCCTTGCCTTATTCTTTTCAAAATTATTTTAGCATTCCTTAAATATTTATTCAAATTCTCTGTTGTCTTTTAAACTAATATTTGTAATCTGAGTTGTTTAAGTTTATTTTGCATCGAAACTATAATTTGTATTTTTAAATTTTTGGACTTTAACATACTTCTTCTATGGAGAACTAAGTTTTGATTAAGGTATGCTATTATTCATAACCAACATTGAGTCTTATAACTAAAATCTATCTTTGTTGGGAGTTTCAATATTTTTAAGATTGCTTTCTTGACTAAATTTAGAGTAGTTTTTCAAATCACCTTTACTAGGTATTTAAGTATTTAATCCAAAATCAGCTGAAATATTGCATAAAGGATCCTTGTTAAGTTATTAAGATTCAGCAAATGAAAAAGTTCTTTTTTTAGGTGCTTATTTTATAGTTGATTAAAGTTCTTCATGTTTTGGAGATTGAATATAAGAACTAAAGATATTTGAATACTTATTTTCTGTTACACTCTAAAAATATTCAGGTGGTACAATATTATAGATTGGATTCTAGCTAATGTAAATACTAAATTATAATACAATTATGTATTATCGTAAGACTCCGATGACTAATGTGTATCAATTCTTAAAGCATCATTGAATAATGTCTTAGATTCTTTTAAATTGCAAACATATTCCTCAATTTTTAGCATTTATCAGTTAAAAAAAAAATCAATTTTATTCAAATAGAAGTTTAGATTTTATATATATATATAATAATATGTATAAATACATAAGTATCATCTAAGACATCAATTAAAGCAGTTCTGATCATTAGAATAGCTGAACATCAATTGCTCTTCTCAAAGTAATATAATAAAAAGAATGTAAATTAAAATTAGAAAATATATAGATTGATTAAGATTATCAAATAATTTTAGAACATATGTCATAAATAAATCTAAGAGCAGAAGAAAGAGCTACTCTAAAGACTGCTAATGGAGTTTGGCTTTACAAACTTGATGAAATAAATTGCTTAGACGAGTATACAAATTGTATTTATATTAGTAATTGTTACAGAGAGTTAAGCTGATAGATAAATACATGCTATGATAAGAGTAAGATATAGTAATCATATTAAAGAAATAGAAAAAGAATTAAAAAAAATACCCTGGCTATGTAGATGCTTAACCTAGTGATGTTGAAAAATATACAAAAATTTGGATGAAATAACTTTAGGAAAAATATGATAATTTGGCTGGAGTAGAAAAAAGTAATAAATTTACTTTTACATTGTTAGGTTTATTATGCAGCATAATAAAAAGTTTATGAGGTTTAAATTGTAATGGAAGGAAACATACATAATATTATAAAAAATTGGATACAGTTTGATGTACATTTTGCAAAACTACTCATAGAATTTAGATGAAAAAGCTGAAAATTTAATAAAATATATCAAAATAGTTCCAATAATAGTCACATGAACTTGCTAAAATTATGTATTGGAGGAATATGAAACTAAAGATTCTTATTTGTCTTATCGTGTTAGCGTAAATACTTTATATTATTATTCCATTAGCTATGAATGCTTCAAATTTAAATGTTATTTTGTATCAATAGTATGTTTATATATATATATTCTTATGTCTTTGCTTTGTTATCCTTAGAAAGTAACCTATTGAAATATATTTGTTTCTTAGAAAAAATTATGTATTTCAAATCAATAATTTATGCTGAGGACATAAGTAGAATTTCATCATAATTTTATATATATATTTTTATTATAATTCAATGAATCAAAATATAAAGGATAATTTATGTCGTTTTTTTAAAGCAGAAGGCACCTATAAGGAGGTCAAACCCTACCTTGAAAAAATATAGTAAAAGGATCAGTAATACTTAATTCAATATTTAGATAATATTATGAACCAATATGTTAAGCTATTGTATCTGCTTTTAAAGAATAAAATCCTATATAATGTTTTTTAGCAGCTAGAATGGCAAAGGAAGCAATAGAAAAACAAAATAATGATTTTTTAACTGTCTTTCAAGATATCTGTCTTCAAGAGTATGAATAATTGGCAGGAGATACATTAAATATAAGATTGCATGATAAAGCAAATTAATTTTTTAAAAGAAGTAATGATGCTAGCAGTTATGGAATTAGCTTTTTTCATTTGATTTTAGAAAGTATTCATTTTTGGGCTAGGTAATATTAAAAAAAAAATGATGGATTCACTCCAACTAAGTTCTACTAAACTTATTAAAATCTTTTGAATAAAGGAATATAATTTCCTTAGGCAAATTACTTTTAAGCATAAGCATAAGCATAACCAACAACCAACAACAATAATTAAAATATGATCGTAAATCAATTAGATATAGTAAATGATCTAGAAAATTAATTAAAGTTGATGAAAGAATAACATGAAATAGAACTATCTATAAGAGAATAAACTTATGCTATAGAACTTTATAATTTAAAAGAAGAAAATAATAATTATAAAAACTTTAAACAAATCTTAGATGAATAGATATAGGATTATAAAAGAAATGAAGATAAACATAAAAAAGTATAATAAGAGTTTCAAAAAGCTTAAATATAATTGAAATAATTAGAAAACGAAGTAAAAAATAGTAAATTACAAGAGGAATAATTGTAAAAAGAATTAAGAGAGAAAAAAAATTTATAATATTAAATGTAATAACAAAATGAATAGATTAAAGAACTTTAATAAAATAACTAGATATTAAAGGATAAAATATAATAATAAGAGAATAGAATATAACCTTAAAATGATTTACTGTTCTAAAATTAAATCAAAGAACTCTAAAATTAAATCAAAGAACTTTAAAAAAACAATATAACTCTTAAAACAGAGTTGGATAATAAAATTAAAGAAATTCAAGAATAAAAGATTTAGTGTTTAGAATAAGAATAAAATATTTATTAGTTAAAATTATAATTGAAAGCAAAAGAAAAATTGAATTCTGAAGCAAATGGATATAAAAATTACGAAGAAAAATAAATTATATAAAAATATGAATAAAATATTTAAGATTTAAAAAGAAGTATTTAATAACTAGAAGGAGAAAATAAATCTTATGTCTAAAATTTATAGTAGTAATAAAAGAAGAATCAAAACCTTGAAGTTTAAATTTTAAATACATAATAAAAATAATTAGCTTATGAAAATAAGATTAAAGAATTACAAGAATAATTAGATTAATTAAAGTAAATATCTCCAATTAGATCAAATTCAAGTAGAGCTTAAATTAAGCAACCTAGTGCCACTCAATTTTAAAATTTCTTCCCTGCAGAACTATCAAAAAAATATATTAAAAATTTTAATCTACATTATGATTTTTAGGAAGATTTCAATTAATTGTTTACAAAACCTAAACCTATAGAAGTAGAAAATATAAATGCAACATTATTCTTTCCCTATAAGACACCAGAGTAATATTATTCTAGCTGTCCTGTCAGATAACATAAGGGAACAGAAATTACTTATCGAAATTAAATTAGTGAATTAAAAGATTTGAAATAAAAAAATAAATATCTCTTCTAAATTTTCCATGTTAATAGAACAACAAATTATTTTATTGATTTACCTTCAATTTAAGTGGCTATTGTAAAATAGGTTTAAAAATTAGGGGATCAATACTAAATCTGTTTTGGAATTTATTTCAAAACAGAAGAATAATCTATCAATTTATCAGGAAAATTTATAATTTAAGATCGAATGTTCTATTGTTTTTCATCACCTTAAACTGATTTTAATTTTACTTTAACAAAGAAATAGCAATACATACTAGAATATTCAATCAATGATAAATGTAAAGAATTAGAAGAGCTACTTGTTCTAGAAATAAGTTATAAGTAAAAAATTATTACTATATTAGAGAAAAAATATAATAATTGTTTCTTCCAATATCTTTATTAGGTTTAATTGATTTTTAACAAGTAACTAAGGAAACTTTTAAAAAATGCTGGAAATAATTTTAAATCTTAAGGTCAAAAAAATTCAATTATAATTCTTACGTTTTACCATAATATGATAGTATTTTACATATTAGCAAATGTTTTATTCTAATAAATAAAGAAAAATTAATGCCATATTTATAAGGAATTGATGAAATAAAATATGGAGTATAATTTAAGTTATTAGGTTCATAATTAGAAGGATTACTTAAATTTGAATTTATCCCATAAAATTAAATGATTATATATTTAGGAGTTAGAAAAGAGAAATATCATTAATTTTAGTATCTAATAAATAAAATAATAAATTCTTATCATTCAATATTTTAGACATTATGATATTATAAAATGTTATAAAATTTATTATTATAATGTTGAATTATATATAATTCTCTTCTGTATATTTTAGTAAAACATTATTTTAGTTATATTAAAATTCATACTCTTTTAGTTTAATTAGATAAGATTAAAAATATGTTCAATTTATTTATTTAGTTTTCAAACTAATTTAAAGATTTGATATTTATTTCAACTAAAAAAAGTATGTTTAGAGTTTATAATGAGATTATATTATTAGGGAAGACAAGAAATAGATATTATTTAAGATTTGTAATTATAAATTATGAATAATGATAATAATAATCCAGAATAATAGCCATTTGGATTATGGAATAGAACTGCTATCGAAAAAAAAACGACACCTTTAGATTAAGTAAAAACAATGGCAAATGAAAAAATCTAAGAGATAATGAACAATGTATTTAGTGTTCTATTGGAAGGAAGTTGTAATAAAAGTTGGAAAAGAAATAGAGAACCTAAAGTAGGAACTGAAAGAAGGTTATGATAAATTAGACTAGAAGGCTTAGAATGTTTTACATGAATAGAAAGCAAAAATGAATTTATGGATTAAATAAAAAATAGAAATGGCAATAATTAGAGTATTAGAGAAAACAAAACCTATTCTATTAGAAAGTATACTTGATCCTTATATGGTAAATATTGAATGAGATACCTTTAGTGTGATTGTCTGTCCAAACTTATTGAAGATGTATTCGAAGAAGTATGGCCAGATATTAAAGAAGAAATTTTATTATAAATAAGAGTGAAATATGCAGATCCTTATGAATTAGTGGAATTTCCTAAACCAAAATTATGTTGTATTGAATATCCTTGGTTTTGGTTTAAAGTTTGGTATTTATATGTAACTCAACCTTTTGATAAATCAATTTTTGAGTAATTACATTGGTATTCTTGGTGGTTGGTATTTATTGTATAATTAATACCATTTTATGGAGTAATAAATTTAATAAAATATTTAGATATAAGCATTTATTTATGTTTTTGTATTTTTATTTATTGACAAATAAGATGAATATTAATTGATTAGATTTATCTTAGCATTTAAAAGTATGCAATTTATATCAATTGGATGTATGAAATATTTAATGTAGTGATAGGAACTATGGTAGGATATTTTACATTCTATTCATGTGCTGTTGTTTCAACTGTTGATAAAAGTTATTAAGATTGTAAAGAAGAAGGACCAGCAATATTTTTAAATTTTTGGTCTGATATTGCAGGTTTTTTACTTTAATTGCTTTTGGTTTGGTTAGCAATTATATTGTTGAAATGTTCTAAAATTAAAGGTTAGATAAGATTTAAGCATGTATAAGTAGCAGAATAATAAATAAATAATAAAATATAAAAATAATCATGTTGTTTATGTTGTACTTTTAATGATAGAGGAGGAAGATTATATTGTTTTATGCTTTATGATTTAATATGTTTTTTAGGATGTGTAGCATTATTTTTAGGTTTATCAGTCTCTGATGGAGAAAGAATGTTATGGCAATATAAATCAACTATGTATTTAGCTAAAACTGTATATGGTTTATTAAGTTTTCCTTTTTTGGTGTTTCGTGTTCCAGGATTAACCTGGTTATTAACTCGATCTCATGGAACAGGGTATGATTGTAATGGTAATTGTGTACCCTTAGTGTCAAATTTATAATAGTATCATCTAAGAAACAAATAATAAAAAAAACCATATGATCCTAAATATGTTGTTTAAAGGGAAGATTTTGATGTAATGGAAGGAGTAGAATTAATGGATGAATTGGTAAATTGATAATAAATACTTAAAATTTCATTATTATTTGAATTGATAAACAGATAATAGTAATTTTTATTCCATAACTCTTTTTACTTTATCTCTTTTTTAAACTCTTTCTAATTCTGAATCATCTATGCCTAATAATACTTTAAATTATTATTCTAGTTTTTGTAATTTATTTTATCTTTTCTTCTCCTCTTCATTAGCAATTATATCTCACTTCTACTTGGAGTATAAGAAATAGCTCTTCTTTATTATTTAAGTTTTTATTTTTTATTTCATGTCTATTCTTTATTCCTTTAAAATTCTTTTTCTTTTTTTTCTTTTATTTCTTTCAATTATTTTCGTATTATCTATTATCTATATATTTTAGAAGAAAATATTCAATGCTTCAAGACTTTGTATTGTTTATTTATATAAATTATTATAATTTTGAGTATCAATTATCATCTTCATCATACATTTCATCATAAAGTCCATCATACGAATTAACTCCTGGCATTAATCGAGATTGGATCTCTTTTTCTCTATATTTCTTTGATTTTGAAGCATTTTCAGGTCCAGTCATTCTGCTTAAGTAATACATCACTTTAGTAGTAATTTCTATTTTTTTCTCTTTTTCTGATTCTCTAGGTAACATTTATTAATGAGATTTATTCGAATCTTAATGTTATAATGATGGTAATCTAATTCTAATTTTAGGCCTCATTTATTCAACCAAATAATCTTCTGATTTATCTCTCTCTGTATATGGTTTCCATGACCTTGCTTTATACTTTGTTGGTACTCTATAAATGCTTGCAAATTGATGTTGTTTTTTTGGAATAGACCGAGAGTATTAAGGAGAATTCAATACACTTTATAATATAGGGTTCATTTATTATAACTTAATACTAATTACTAATATACAAAAAAATCAAACTTCAACTTTTTTCTTTTGAATCTTCTTCTTTTAAACTTATTGCACTTTAATATTCTAATCAAATTATTTAGGTTTCTTATTAACTAATTATTTTTTGATTTATTTGGCAATAGGAACAACAGTAGGTTTTTCAATTTTAGTTTATTCTTATTATTATTCTTATTCTGCTTATTTTCTTTATACAACACTTACACAAAAACATGTTAATCTCTATGTTGTTCTAATGGTATAAATAGGTTTTAATTTATTTTTGAGATCAATATCATCATATTATTCATTGGCATATAATAAACAATCCCAAATTTTGATATCTCCATCAGATGAAATAGATGCCAAATATGTTTATTCATTCAAATCAAATAATTATAATTACTTAATTCTTTTTTAATGAGCCACAAATTTTACTATAATCTTGCTTTATATTTAATTGTCTACTGTTAATTTTATCATATAAACTATTCCATTTGCATCTTGAATAAATCAATATAATACCTGAAAGAATAAGTGAATCTTGATTTAATATTGAATCTGTTATCTAAACTGTTATATCTATAGTATGTGTAACCTTATTAGTTTCACAATCTACAATATAACATTTTCTGTCAGATTGAAATAATAAATATTGTATTTCATCTTCCTTTGAAATGAAATGAATCTTATCAATATCTAAAATATTTAAAAAATATATACTAAAATGAAATTTCTTTAATGCTATTCTTTTCAAATTCATTAAATTATAAAGATGTAATTTCTAATCTTTGGTTGCACATGCCAAAATCTTTCCTGATTCATGAACAGCTATGCATATAACAGGATTTCCACATTGGAATGTATTAAGAATAGCCCATTATTTATTTCTCCATAAATTAACTTTTCCATCTTCAGCTGCTGTGAATAGAAAATTTGAATGTCCAGCAATCTAAGTTATTGTTCCATTATGTTGTTCTAATAAAGTAATTTCAACTCTTCTTCTAACATCATATACTTTGATTAATTCTTCAGAACCTCCAATAAATAAATAGCGTCCATTCTAAAATATTGTTTTGATTAAGGACTCAAATAATAAATTAAATATACTGTAGAGGCTGGAAATGAATAGAGAGTATTATTCTATGAAAATTAATCATTCAAAGAGAACCCTAAAAGTTTACCATCATATGTCCCCACATTAATATTAATTTCCATTTTAAAATTAATTAATATAATTATTTTTATTATTTATATCTTAATCTAACTATTTTATTTAATCAATCCTAAGCTTTTATATTCAAATATCTTACATAAATTTAAAATCTAATTGTATCTAATTACTCTATTTTAAATAACAATTAAAATATATATATTTATCAAATAAATGAATCACAAAATTATCAATACTATTATGATCTAGTTTCAAATACATAATCCATCAACAAATTTCATTTTGTTTACTCTTTAACATAAAAGATTTATATTTATATTAAATAATAAGTAATAATATAATTTTAATGAAAATATTTAGTTATATTCCTTCTATACTTATAAATATTTGTAATATATATAACGAACACATTCAAATTAATAAAATAAATTTAAATAATTAGTATCGATGGACACTAGATAATCAGAACACTCTAGAGGCAAGTCTTAGACTTAAATCAAAATGCGTAACCCATTCGAACTACTTATAAGTAATATTACTTTCATTATATAGAAATAATCAGATTACCAAATGTTTGCAATAAATGTGGACATATTACTAGAATGAAAGAAATATCAGATATTCTCGAATAATTTGATACTATGACATCTTAATAAATTGATACAATTAATGAAAAACTAATTCAAAAATCGAACTAAATTTTAGCAGCACGACAACAATTAGTTAAAGATGCAAAAAATGAGCTCTAATAATCATTGCAATAATTGATTTAAGTGAGATAGAGTATGGGTTCATCTTTTAATTTTGAAGACAGAGAAAAGTGTTTAGAGCGAGTTTGTGAAGTAACATATAATTTAATCATTTATATAGGATATATTTTGTAATGTTTAAGAATAGATTGAAATATAGAATTCTTTATCTGAACTTAATGCAATAATTTAAGAATAATATTAAAAATTTCATTAATTTCCTAATGAAATCACTGAAATGAATAAATTAGAATATCATGATAATCTTGAAATTAGAGAGAGATTAGAAGGAGCTTTAAGAATTAATTAAAGTCATAAAGATATTTTAAAGGAGATATTAATTAAAATTGGAGAAGAAAATAAGAGCTATACTTTTGATATCTAATTACAATTTAGATAATAATAATTAGAAATGTTAAATCTATTATAATGCAATTAAGAATAAATTAAAGATATAGAAAGATTAGAAGATGAATTAAATGATAAAAAATTAGAATTATAAAAATATGCAATATTATTTAGTTAATTTGAGAAGTAAATATAAATAATAAATATTATAGTCCTTTTAAATCAAATAAGATAAGTTCTGAAGAAAGTAGTGCTAGTAATTTCTAATCAATTTAAAAGGAAATCATATAATAACCATCATCAATTCAATAAAGTCGAAATGTATTTTAAGATATTAAGAATATTTAATCAAAAAGATTCTCTTAACCTTCTATAAATGAAAATAATAATATGTGCACTTTTTAATCAGAATAATTCTATTCTATTGATTAATCTCAGAGTAATTTACATCCAGAATCATCATAAAAATCATCATAAAATAATAGCAAATAAATTGAAAATTCAGTTGTGATTAATTAAAGATATGGAAATAGTATATCCAATAAATTTAATAATTCAAAAGCAACTAGTCTAATTTCATAAATTAATTCTTAATAAAATAATAATATCCCTCTTTAAATAGTTCCTAATTCAACTAAAAAAATTAGAAATTCAGTTGACACTAATCCTATGATGTCACAAGATAGTTTTGAAAATTTAAATGAAAATGATGAAAATTCCCCAAAAATCACTCCAACAAGCAAAACCTTACTCTCCAAAGTTCCACCCCTTCCTATAGGCAGATAGTTAGAGCTTGATTGAAAATTTTATTCTTATTATATTTTTAAATCATTAAAATTACTCATCATTTAATTACTTTTATTAAATAAAGTACTTATATTCAAAGAAGTTACCTTTAATCTTTAAATTAACTATTTTTTTTCATTATCAAAAAAAGATAAAACTTAACTTATAATATTTTATATAACCTAAATTCTTCTATTAAACAACTAAGCATATTAAAAAAAGAGTAATTTATGGATAAGGATTAAAAAACCTCGAAAAGATTAATTTCTTCATTTCATTAAAATAAATAAGTCTTTTATGTAATCCTTAAAGAAAATTAATTGCTTATTTAATTGTATTGTTGTAAGTCTAACTTTTTGATGATTTTAATAATCTATAAAAAATATTTTTATTAATAAAATGTCTGATAACTAATTAACTGACTTATTACTTTATTATGCATATATGTGTTTCATAATTGTAATTAATATATTGTTTATTTTGTAATTAATACATTACATTATAATTGGCTGAAAATCATATGTAAGTATGTTCAGCATTAAAACCATAAAGAAGATAAAATGATAATTATTTAGATTTATATATCATTTATAGAGATGATGAATTTCTTGAATCAAAAAAAAGAATTATTCTAGAATTATAAAGAATTAAATTATTAATATAATTGGCATTAGCATAAAAATGGACTACACCAGAACATTTAGAATTAAGAGATTTTTGTTAAATTGCTGTAATAATACTAGATAGATTTTTACAGAATCCAAATAATGTAAATAGATGCATTACTAATTTATAATAAATTTTTAATGTAATATATTTGGCTCCATAAATTTTCTATAAATAATAAGCTATATTACTATAAAAATATTTAAATCGTTTAAAAGAATATATAAAATGATTATATTATTTTTATTATTAATATTATGGAATAAACAAGAGATAGTTTATTATGTAGATTCATAATCAATCTTGATATAGAAGAAAAGAAGCCAGATAGATTATTTTTTCATTTATAAAATGCATATTGGTATTATTTGGATTTTCTTAATCCAGAAGATAAAATGTCATAAACTGAATTCTATAATTGGTTATTAACACCATTACCTGAATTTAATGAAATTAGAACTAATTTAAAACAGTAATTTATTATATATAATCTAAATAGTTATTTAAAGTAATTCAAAAAATATTAAAAACATATTCCATTATATGGCGCAATATTATTAAATGAAAGTTTAGAGAGTGTTTTATTAGTTATGAATTATAATTAAACAGTATATTCATTTCCCAAAGGAAGTTTGGGAAGAAGTTGGTTATGATATATCAAAGAAAATTAGTGATAAAGTATAAAATAAAAAATAATAAATTTATAAGGATTATTTAGAATTCGTTTGTGAAGATACAGGATAAGCATAAAGAATGTACATAATAAGCGGGGTTAATGAAGACCATAAATTTATTACCAGCACTAGATTTGAGATTGGACTTATTCAGTAACAATCTTTCAAAGTTGCAGGTGGGTCCAAATTAAAGAGATCCAACGTGGTGATCCAGCCTATGTTTATTTGAATCCATTCATCCAGGGGTTATAGAAGTGCATCTAACATAAAAAATAATTGGATAAAAATAAGATTAAAACCATTATATAATAGAATGATACAATGATAGAGTTGACATAAACAATACTTAAAAATTTTAAAGTATTATTAAAAACTGAGAAACCAAGAGCCATTTAATAACCTGTATTTTAAGTATTTAATTTATTTGTTATTTGATGTTATTATTGCAATCTAAATTATAAATATATTTATAATATATATATATAATTAAGTTTTAGCTTAATTAATTATTTACGATATAAAATGTAAATAATTGAGTAATATTATATGAAGTCTAAAATATGAAAATTTGAAATTTGTAAACCATATAGGAGAAAATCATTTTAGTGAATAAGATAAATTTTTATAAATACAAATATTTATATAATAATTATATAAGTCAATTTAAGTGTTATTTAATAGATTCAACAACTCTTTCTGAATACTCTAAACTATGATACATTTAATTTAATTAAGAGTGTTCTTTATTGAATGTCATCAATCTAACTTTGATATCTCCTAAATTATTTTATTCTAATCGATAATGTAATTCATTCATCATTAATTCAAATTCTTAATTTTGTTCATTTATATCATATAAATAAACTATAAGTAATATTTTAAAAATTTACTTCCTTTAATCATAGTTCTCATAAAGTCTAATTTATATGATTATTATTATTATGGTGTTTCAATAGTTTTAATTTATTTAGGTGTTAAATTTTTTATTTTTCTTGGTGTAACACTTACTTATTATTTTGATGGTGTTCTATTTGGTTATTTTTATGGTGTTTTTGTTCTTATAAATTTTGAATTTCTTTTTATTCTATCAGTTGTTATTTGAATTGATTCATTACTTGTTACACTATGATCTAATTTTGAACTTTATTTTGATGATTATAAGTGGATTAAAACTAATTATTAAAATATGAGAATTATTATATTAATCACATTAATAATAATTGTTCTTTCTTCTGAAAATACAGGTTTAAGAATTGATCTTAATGTTGAAATACCATTACTAGAAAATTAATATGTTATATTTAATGCAACATAATAATAAGAAGGTGCATCATCATAAATCTTACCAACATATAAATTACTTGCAAATTTAGTAATACTTTATTTATCTATATAAATAGAAAAATAATTCATTAGGAATATATTCATAAATGTTTGACTTTTTACAATATACAAATTAATCATAAATTAATTGTTATTAATAAAATGTTGTTGTATTAACTGATGTATTTAGTTGTACATAAAGTTGTAATTCTACTCCTGATACTTCTAATTTAGGAATTAGAAATATATCATATGTATTAACAGATGAAAAAGATGAATAATTATAATATTTAGTAATAGATAATTCATAATTACCATGTGTGAATGGAACATTTTTTAAATTAATAGTTCCTTGGATTACAGTATAAGCATTATTTAAATTTTAAGATTCATCATATTTAATTGGAACTATAAGTAAATAGTATATATTATACTTAATAGTTATTGTTTTATTAGTTACAATCATTACTATTTAAATCATGTCAATTTAAAGTATTATATTATAAATTAAGGAAATATAAGAAAAAAATAAGAAAATCGTAAGAAAAAAATATTATTGAGAAATTTAATTATGAGAAGTGATTATTAAGTATTATTTTATTATTATTAAGGAGTTAACAGAAGATTAATCAATATATTTATAAGAAATCAAATAATCATAAGTTTCTAATTATTATAAGAATTGAAAATATTTTATATTTAAACTATTATATATAATAAAAATTATAAAATTTCATAAAGAATTCTATATAAGATATAATTTATATAGTATATTTTTATAATTGATAATTCAAATCAATCTCTTGTGTCTTCCTTCCTTAAAACACTTTTAACAACAATAGTTTCTAGCATGATCCTTCTTGTAGCCACATTTTCCTTATCTGCCTCCAGGTCCATCCAAATCTCCATTGTGGGTGTAATAACTAGTTATTCTATTATCACATCCAGATTCAAATATCATACGATTAGTTTAATCTCTTTCTTTAACACTCTCATATCCTTTGTAAATCTAATGAGATATCTCTTTAGCTTATTTCACATTTTTTAACAAATTAGCCAACAATTTGCCCATTTTAATAATTATGTTTTTTGCATTTTTCACATTTCATATTTAAATACCATATGTGAAGAGTATCTTTTTAATAAATTTTATTTTTAACAATTAAATTTTAAATTTAATCTTATTCTAATGAATTTATATTATTAATTATTTTGTAATTAAAACTAATTATAATATTTTTATTAATAAAATGTCTGATAACTAATTAACTGACTTATTACTTTATTATGCATATATGGAATAAGAAATAGAAATTTTAAGAGAAGTTTTATGTTCTGAGCCTTATTTTCAACCTTATAACTTATTCAAATTTATTGATTGTATGAAAGATGAACCAAAAGTACTTATTATAAATAAAATAGGGTTATTTGACTGCTCAAGATTTATCTATTTATTTAAGTGATAGAAAGTTTCCATCTAATTTACCAACTAAAACATATATAGAGAATTACAATTAAAATAGAGATTGCAAATTAGTTTACTCAGAGTAATTATGAAATTTAATATAAGATTTTTGAGAGCAATTCTACCTATATCTAATCCAGATTTAAGAGAAAAGATTACATAGTAAACACCTTCAGATTAAATGACCATAAGTGAAAGAACTTAATATTTATTTGCAAAATTAATGGAAGCGTATATATATTACTTATTAATATAGTGAAATAAAACTAACTATATAGGCTGAAAATTACAAATAAAAAATAGATCCAAATTATTTTGATAAAATTTGTTATTAGAATTACATTTATCATTAAGATTTACAAAGTTACTTCAAATAAAAATAAATAACTACAAATTCTATTGAAATTTAATAAATCTTCAATAGAATAGATTTACTAAATGATGGAAAGATAGATAGAAATGAATGGAATTAATGGATAAATATTAGGAAATCTGTATTATAAATTAATTCTAATTCATACAAATAATAACAGAAATTTAATAGTACAAGATATAGTTCAACAAAGAGAAAATAATAAGATTCTACAATGAGTGATCTACTAACTTTATCTAAATAAGGTTTTTATTAATCTACTAAACCTCCTTTGTCTAATTATTCATACAATACACCTAAAAAATATTAAAAATAGAAAACAGATATTAGAGCTTAAATGCATTATTCATTAATGTAAAATAGTAATTATTCTTCGAAATAAGAACTATCATCTTATAAAACAATGACTCATAAACCAATTACTAATTTTTATGAAGATGATATTTAAACTTTAAAAAAGACTTAGTCAGTTGCAAAATATGAAGCATTAGATCCTGTTAATTATTATGTTTAATTATATGTGAATTTAATTTAATTAGTAAAAAAGATTGAACGTCAAAAGATTTTATTGAGTAATCATGATGATTTTTCATTATATTCATCATTTTAAAAATTGGATAAAGGTTTTAAAGGAATGTTGATAAAGAGTGATTTGAATTAATATTGTAAGAATCCATAATTGATATTGGATCGTTATGGAAAAGATAATAAGATGAGATTTTCAGAATATATTAAAATGATTGAACCAAAAGATCCATAGGCTGTAGAAATACTTTTAAAGAAAGATTAAAAACATAAGGGTAACATGTTAACATAAACAGAAATATCTTTAAAATTATTATTTGAATTAATTGAGTAATTTTAATAGAAAATAAATCAAACTAAAGATTATTAAAGCAAATAATAATTTGATATAAGTGAAATTTTTTATATGTTGGCTTATGATAGACAATAAATAACTCATTAAGATGTAAGACTATTAATTTAATTAGATTACTGATTTCTTATCTGCTAATCAATTCAAAACTGTATCACAAGATGTCGATTTATTGTTGGCTGAATTAGATTTTGATGGTGATGGATAGATAAGTTATAGGGATTTTATTAAAATTTTTGGAAAATGATTATAGTATTATAATTATTTATACTTAAATGATGGAAGACTTACTACAAAGTAGAATCCGTAGTCGTCATGCCTATTCACTTCATAATAAATATCAGTCAATTTGTCATTAATAAGGAGGATAGAATACTCTAAAATTGCTTTCAAATAGCTTACAAAAATAATAATATAGTCAAAAAAATAATCAATTAAATTTATAACGAACTGAGTCTCGTTTCTAGATAAGTTAACCAAAGCATATTTAATATATTGGAGTAATATCTAACTCAATAAAAACAATGAGTACAGGTTCACCAGAAAAGATAATTGAATCACCTTTAAAGGGAAGGATAAAATAAAGTCGTATATTGAAGACTTCACTTCATAATTCTCGTATGAGTCCTGAAAATAGATTAATTTTTAAATAACGTCTAAATAAAATTGATGAATCTATTCAATATATTTAAGATAGACATAATTAATTTAATGGAATTAATTCTAATAATTATTAAAAGATGTGTGAAATGATTAATAAAACAGAATACATGAGTGCTGATTTAAATTAAAAATTAGATGTTCCATTAATAAAATTAATAAAATCAGAACCAATTGAAAATAATGAAAATAGTGCAAATCTAGTATAAAAATTAGCTACTTAAACTATGTAATGGAGTGAATCTAAGAAAAAACAAAGATCTAAATTAGAATAGAGTATGTATTATAAGACAAATAAATGGAAAAAAGCCAAATTCTTAATTTTATAAAACTTTTCATCTCGTCATAACAATACCTTATATTCAAAAAAATACATAATAACATAATTAAAGATTCCATATTTGAGACATAATTCTAAATAAATGTTTATGGCTTTAAAATAGAAAAATTATCACTAATTACTTAAACATTTATCTTATAATAAATCATTTATTCATGAAGTTGACAATTCTCTCATGACTCCTTTACATATATCTTGTTAATAAGGTCTATATGATATTACTAAAATGCTTTTAAGATTTAAATCTGATGTGAATGCTTTAGATAAAAATAAGAAAACTCCACTTTATTATGCAATGTTTAATGGACATACAGAAATAGTAAAAGTATTATATTTTGGTATTTTATCAGATGCTTTTAATACATGATGCTTTTCCATATTCTGATACTAATTGCAATTATATTCAATTCTTTCCAAATAAAACAATGAAAGAATTATTCAGAGTAGCTAAAAGAGTATAATAATCATTTAATATTTTAGATTTTAACCTTGATGTTAATTTGTCCAAAAAATAAAAGAAAGACTATGAAAGAATATTTAGAAATTAATTTTCTGAATGAATATTCTCTTCCTAAAAACTTGCTTGCTTGAATATTATATATATTATTAGCAAATCTATATGATAAATAAAATTTAATTAATAAATCAAATTACATTAAGTTTTCTTTAACCCCAATTTGATAACTTTATAGTATCATCCCATCTTTATATATAATAAAATATATTGATACCTAACTTCTTTAGATAAACAATTCAATATAATAATTATCAGACAAATTGAATCTTTTTTATATAAAGTTGCAAGACATGGACCAGCCTTATCAGTAAATCCAGTTTTAAATCCACAATATCCTTCGAATTCTAACATTCTATTAGTATTCTTCCAAGTCAAATTTATAAGTTTATTCTAATAGAAATATAATAAAATTACATTTCTCTAAAGAGTTGTTTAATATTCTTTTTTATTAACAATTTCCATTAACATTGGATCATTAATAATCTTTTTACATAGGATAGCTAAATCTTCAGCACATGAATATGATTGATCATTTGATAATCCTATGAATAATATATTATGAATTTACCATGAGGATTATAAAATTAAGTATCATTCATTTCAAGTAAAAGTGCATATTAATTCATTAATTAAATAAAAGGTTAAATTCTGTATTATAAAGCAATATTAGAAACAGGATCTTTAAGAAATGATGATAAATTTTCAGCGATTACATTTGCAGCATCATTTCCAGATGGTAACATTAATCCATGAAGTAAATCATATAATGTTATTTTATCATAGGGACGTAAAAATGCTGAAGTTCCTGAGATTTAAACAGCCTTAAATGTTAAAATATTTACATCATAACTAACATACATTATCTATTTAATATTGATTTTTAAATCTTTTATTAATTAAATTGCCACATAACATGTCATTAACTTTGTAAGTGAAGCTACTTATACTCTTTTTTTTGAATTAAAGCTCTCTCAATTATTTAATTGCAGTACTGTCAAATTTTATCCATCTAAACCATTCATTACTATAAAATTTTGAGCTGTCACTAATGGTACACCATATTTTGAGTGTAGATCTGTTTTAGAGAAACTTATAGATCTTTAACTTGATCCTGGTCTATGACGAGAATCACTTGAGGTTCTATTAGGACGATTGCCTTAACTTGATCCTATGCTACGGATCAGTATCATTGGCTAATCTAAAGCTTTCTATGATAATCTTTAGTTTGGTAGAGGTGGTTTAAACATATATTATTTACTCAATTAATTTTTAATAATTTGAAATTAAATATGCATATTGAAAATCCATTTCTCTCTGCAATCTAACCTCAATTCATACCTCAAAATAATCCACCTTAACCTAATTAATAAAGAAAAGAAATTGGTGATTAAGCCATATGGACTTTATCATCTGCAAAAATTGGAAATGGAGTTGATCAATTAAGAGATGATAATTTGAATACATTTTGGTAATCTGATGGTACATAACCTCATTACATAATAATATAATTCCTAAAGAAAATGAGAGTCTAAGAATTAGCTGTTTATTTAGATTTCAAATAAGATGAAAGCTACACTCCCAATAAATTATCAATTCGAGCAGGAACTAATATTTAAGACATGAAAGTACAAAATTAAATTTATCTAGGAAGTACTATATATTGAATTGAAAGAACCATATGGATGGTTTGTTTTTCAACTTAAAACTAAATTACTTAATGGACAAGAAAAGTATTCAATTATCTCTATTATAAGACCTTATGTATCGACAATTAACATTTAAGTAGTTGTTCTATAAAACTAACACAGTGGAAAGGATACACATATTAGATAAGTAAGAATATTTGGACCAAGAGAGTATGAATATATAAAATTTATTTTTAGAAAATAAAACTAAGGGTTGAGTTTTCCAGATTTCAAAATGCCTGAAATTACTTAATATGCATCAATTCGTTGAAAATTTTTGATAAAATTAAATTTATCTTTTATTTATTAATAAAATCTAAATAATTTTAGTAAAAATAATTTATTATGATATATGTATTAGTGATAATATAATTAAATGAAGGGATCTTGTATCTTAAATTTAAAAAGTCAATGATTTTATAAAACTCAAGAATTAGTCAAACAAAAATAAAATTTAATTTCAAACTAATAAAATGCTAACATTTTAATTCACAAGTTGTCAAACAATATTATATTTTTTGATCTAAGTTAGAATATAAATTTAGCCATACATAATAAGAATAATGACTGAATAATAATAATAATTTGATGTTAAGATTTATTTTTAATAAATATAATATATTCATACACAAGATTCAAAGAAAATTAACTTAGATTATGTATAAATATATCAGAATGAAAATATTAAATAACATTTAATTATATTAATAATTGTCTTATTAATCTTATCATTATCTAACCATCATATATAAAAATAGTTCTTTAATTCAAGAGTCTGTTATTTAATAGTCATTTGATTATTTGATTAAAAAGAATATGTTCTTTGTATAGTATTTATGATTTTCACAATAATTTTATGAATTATTATATTCTTATATTGAGTTTTATTAATAAATCTAAATAATACTTTGATGTAATCATTAAATAACTTCAAGGAAAGGTTTTAGAATTTTAAGAATAGAAATTCTTAATTTATCAAATTAAATTAAGAAAAGTTAAGATTATTTAATGTTTATAGAAAATAATGTTTAACAATTTTTGTCTAAAGTAGAATTAAGGTATCCTTATTCTAATTCTTAAGAATTTTCTCATAAAAATATTAGATTAAATAAATATAGAACAGTCTATAATTTTGAAGTTATTAGAGTGAACCTCTTGATAAATCAATATATTAATATTTTTATATGGGATCAGGATAAGGAAAAACTCGAATTAAGAATTGTTAAACAGGGTTAGAATATTTATAGAGTTTAATTTCTAATGTTGATGTATAATTAAGTGTTCAGATTTAAACTTAGTTAAAATAACTTATACTTTAAAAGCCAAAAATTTCAAAAGACATGTAAATTTTATTTCACATTTTAGAGAGCTTTTGTACAATTATTTTTCTTAGGATCATATAGATTGTGAAAAATACAGTCCAGAAGATTATGAACACTTAAATATATTATCAACATTTTAGAAAAAGCTTCTAGAACCTCCAAAAATAATAAATTAATAAAAAGAAGATGGTGCTGATTAGAATGTATCATAATTAAAAATGCAATATATTAAATCTTTAAGACTGTTAGATATTAAATCATTAGATGAATTTAAATCTAATGAATTTTAAGAATCTAGTTGGATATATAAGTTAATAAAAGGAATTAAAAATTATTGTATAATAGCAAACATTTTATTATTAAAATGTGAAAAGGATAAAGAACTATAATGGATTATATATGTTACTATATGGGAACATTTTTCATAAAAACTATCTAATTTATCAGAGAAATATTCATTTCAAAAAATCAATTAATCTTTTGATGAATATTTTCATAAGAAATTAACCCCTTAACTAAAAGTAGAAACATTAGGAGCTAAAATATGGGGAGGATAAGTAAACATAGATAAATAATTTGCAATAAATTAAATACTATTAGGTAGAAAAGATAGAAAATCAAATCTACCTTTAAGCAGAATTGCTACAGTTCTTATGGAAATGAGCACAGATATATATAATTTGTAATTAGCAGGTAGTGATGAATTTGTAATACCAAAATTAATTTAAGAATTATAGGAATAAAGTAGATAATTATATGATTAGAATTTTGAAGGTGATTATGGAGACTTTTTTTAATTTTGGTTTTTAGATAATTAATATGTACTTACAATATTTCCTGAATGGATAATAGAAAATTATGTTGATACAATTTTATTTGAATTTTTAGAGGATCTCTTTTGTTAATAAATACTAAAACTTTCATAAGAAGAATAATAATAAATAAATAATATTTATCTGAAAGAATATTAAATTGAGCCTATTTTATTAGATGCAAATGAACTTAATCAATAAGGTAATTAATCTCTATAGAATTTACTTACATTTGATTAATTTTTAAGATCTCAATAAGAGCCAACAATTAGTTTAATAACTAAGAGAGTTTTGAATGAAAAAAAAAATAGTGAAATATTTAAAAGTAATACTACTACTAATAACAGTGGAGTTTTAGTTGATCATTAAATAGTAATGTAATAACTTCATTAATAATCTATTGGTCAATAAGTAAGTTCAGATATTTAATCAGAAAGTAGGAGTTCACATTTTTTTTCAGCATTTATGACAAAATCATCAAAATTAAAGAATTTGAGTTTAGTAGAACTTGAAAATATTACTAATTAATATGATATAATAAAATTTCCAATTTAATCAAGAATAGAGGCAAGAAATCAAAGAATAAAAATGAAAAACAAAAATATAACTAGAATAAATTATGAATTTCGAAGTTTATTTAGTTTTGAAAATTAGAAAGGTGATATTAATTAAAAATAATAAGAATTTTTTCAATCTCTATTAAATTAAGAGAATCAATTAGAAAGTGTTATTGAAAAAAAAGAGTGCATTAAATCAATAGCTGAAATGTTATTAGAATAATGACTAAATGATTATTTATTTAATAAAATGTGTGCCTCTCTTATATATATTAAATTAATTTTTAAGAAATCTATAAAACTAATATTTAAAAAAGGATAGAGTTAATAATATAAATTATTTTATTTATTATTAATGTATCAAATTGAGGTTGGAAATATAAATAAAGATTTTGAAGTTGGAAATATGAATAAAGAAGAGATTAATTAGATACTAGCAAAATATGCCTTTAAATGTGAAATCTGTTTTATAGAAGAACCTGAATAATAAAAAGAAACTGAATAATAAAAAAAAAATGAATAATAATAAAAAAAAAATGAAGTAAGACTTGTAGCTGCCAAAGTTACATCATAATAACCTATTAGAAAATCTTATATTGTAGTTTGCCCAGATCATTTTTTAAATATCGAAGGCGCTCTTGAAAAATTCTTATCTATTTCAAAGATAAAATACTCAGTTTAATAAATAGATATTAAAAAGGCTAAACTAGTAACAATACCTGATATCAATCTAAGAGATGCCATTCAATCTATATAATATAATTACTGTTGTAGAATACTCAAATTAAGACTTTCAAAAACAGATACATAAATATAAATGCTTAATTGTGATAATCTGGAATAGACTATAGAAAATGCTTTTGAATAGAAAAAGAAAGAGCTTGAAACAACTTAAGAAAAATTCAAATATTATGTTGAAAATTAAGATAAGATGAGTATGAGATAGAAATTTTTAATTTATCATTATTACTTAAGACTATAAAGAAAATCAAAATTGCAATAAGATGACCTTATATTAAAAAATGACCAAGAAGTTGGTGGACTTTCAATGTCAATATCTATTCCTTTTGCAGACCTAGAACCTAAATGAAAAAATAATATTAAAATAATTTAAAAAAATAATTCTATTCATTAAGTGATATTCATTTCAATAGTATTTCTGTCTTCTTCTTGAAATTTAGATTTATTCATTTCATAAAATATCCAAAAAATAGTAGCAGGAAGAGTAGTGAATTAAATCAATTTGTATATAGTTAAATATAGAACCTTAATAATTTAATTAATAAATAAAACCGAAATAGTTGATGATGCATTATAATAATTAGTACATTCTTTTGAATTATCACATTTTATATAAGTAAATATATCAAATGCAAATTATACACCAAATTGTAGTAATCCACAATCTAATAAATAATAAATTATACAATGCATTAATGTAATTTATTTTATTCTAATTAATACTTATTCATATTTTTAAGCATTTTATTATACTTAAATATTTCCAGATCTTGCAATATCCTAAAATAAATTAAAAATAATAAAAAACCAATTTATTTTTATATTCCATTAGACCTTCTAATGCCAAGTTTCCCATATAAAATGAACCACAAGCCAAAAACAATCCAATACTTGAGACTATTAGATAATCAACCTAAACACAATTATAACTAATAAAATCATATAAATATTTACTCAATTGCACTTTTATGAACTATTCCAGCCCAAAACCATAAAATAAAAGTACTTATAAGCAAAGCTTTAGCTAATTACCAAACTTTTGGTGCTTATTCCTCATCACCTATAATAGATCCCAAAATATTGCAAATCATTATTTACATTGCTATTCCCATACATTTAATAGTTGATAATAAAAAATCATTATCTTAGTATCTAATAAATATATTCTAATTACCAAAATATAAAAAATAAATAGTCTGCAAAAATATTTAGATCAAAGCAGCAAAACATAAATATCTATCAATTTGAACAAGAACTCCACTTTTATCATGAGTAATTATTCTATAGCTCATGAATAAATAACATAAATAGAATAAGCTTAATAAGAATTCCATAAGTCCTTCAAAGCAAATATATCCATTATTACAATAAATTAAGTTTGCCATATAATTTAAATTTGTAATAAATAAATTGAAGTTATTGTCAAAAATAATCATGAATTAAATTATAATATCCTAATTGATTGAGAAATTGTTATATTTCTATAAAGTAATTTTGAATTTAAGAGTAAAATAAGTAAATTATTTATAGATGCTCTATTTAGTTTATAAAATAAATTATACAAAAAAAATTATAGTTTAGTTAAATGTAATATTAAATTTAAGCAAAATTTGTTTATGGAAAATAACTAACTCATATCTATTAGTTAAGATGAATAGGATTGTTTTTTTAGTGAAGATGATGAATAAATTTCATAAATAATAGAATAAGATCCAACAGGTCGATTTTGTAAAGTATTTATTTAGTTATAACTCAGTATAATGAAGAAATTGGTAAAGGAGCTTATAAAAGTGTGTTTAGAGGATATGATAATTAAAGTGGTTGTGAAGTGGCATGGAATGTTTTTTAATTACATAGTGTTCCAGAAAGTATTGTCATTTTATTGAATTATTGTAGATGAAAGAAGAAGAGCTAGATAAGAGATTTCAATCTTAAGTAGTTTAAAACATAATAATATAATAAATTTTATTCATTCTTGGCATAATAAAAAGAAGAAAGAAATTATTTTCATAACTGAAATCATAAATGGTGGTTCTTTAAAAAAGTAATTATATAAAATTAGATTTTATTAGTTATTTACGTAGAATATTAAGACCAAAACTAAAAGTCATTAAAAATTGGTGTAGATAAATTCTTTTAGGTCTTGAGTATTTACATAAATAAAAAATCATTCATAGAGATTTAAAATGTGAAAATATATTGATAGATACAAATAATAACGAATTAAAAATTGGTGATTTAGGACTCTCTATCTAGTAAGGATAGCAACAATTATTAGATTACAATCATCTTTTACTAGTTCTGTGTTAGGAACTCCAGAATTTATGGCCCCTGAAATTTATTAAGAACATTATGATACAAAAGTAGATATATATGCCTTTGGAATGTGTTTATTAGAAATGGTTACTGGTGTTAAACCATTTTGTGAATGTAAAGGAGGTATTGGGTAAGTGATCAAAAAGGTTATGGAATAATAGAAACCTTAATCATTAGATGCAATTCTTAATGATAAAATCAAATCAATTATTTTAGAGTACAATTATATTATATATTTATTCAGATGTTTAAAAACCCCTGAGTAAAGACCTTCAGTTTCTGAATTATTATAAACTCATTTTAATGGATAACCTTAGGAAAATGATAATTTGCCTGTTGCTATAAATGAATAATATTTAATTCAATTGAGAGATGATAGCAAAAGTACAATTGTTTTATTGTTCAGATTCATCTCTTCTAAAATGCAACCTATCAAATAAAATTATGTTGACAGCAGGAAGTAGTAAATTTGAAACCAATTCAGAAATTAGTAACTAAAAATAACCATAGTAAATTTAAATGAAAAAGAAAAATATGATTATTTAAACAGATGATGAAACAGATCAAGTGTTTATGTAATGTTATAAAGCATATATTGTAATATCAATTATTCAATTATATATATTTAGGATAAAAAGAAAGATGATACATTTTTAGATTTAGAATAAAGATAAGAAAAAGAACTTCAAATTTTAAAATAATTTCATGCTTAATAAAAATAAGAATATCTTAAAAAAACATAAAATTCTTAAGCAGCCATTAAAATACCAAATTAATTATTTTAAAATTCAGGATTTATGTCTCCTTAATCATATCAAAACTTTTTTGAGTTTTAAAATGAATCAAATACAATCAAATCAATAGTTGATAGTCCTTGTATGGAAAAGATTGCCAATACCAAAATTATTAAATAAGGATAAATAAATGTAAATATAATATATAATATATTTAATAGTAGGGAGATAGTTCCTAAGGATAATAATTCTAAATTAATCATATATCTTAAAATGGTATTTTGAATCAATTAATTGTAGATAAATAAATCGAAGTCAATTTTTGACAACTAATAAACAAATCATAAAAACAAATAACCAAAAAAAACCAAATATAAATTAATTATTAAATATCAGCATGTACTTAAATGCCTGTCCTCCTCCATCTTTTCTCAAATGATTTTGATTTATTTTTTTTCATCTTCTTCAATTATAAGTTCATCTCAAAAATCTTAAATAGAAACACATAACATATTCTTTTTAATATTAAAATATTGATTCTAATTCTACATGTTTCTCTTAAAATGGAATTTTTAATTCTAAATATATAGATTATAGTAATTCTCTAAAATAATTAAATAATATATATGAAAGATTAAATTATACTCTCTTAGTAATCATGATTATAAAAATGCAAGACTTAAATATATTCATTTCTTTTGATAATTTATGAATCTAATTTTTTAAGATTATTTCCTTATTGTTAATTATTTACTTATGTTTAATTTATAACATATTGTTATTAGAATTAAGAGTTTTATATTTTGACCTTAATCTATAGTATTAAAATTTAATTAAGGTTTTTGATTATAATGGTATTGTTGTTATTTAATTTTTATAATTGATAGTATTAGATAATATTTATTATTAAGGTTAATATAATAATTATTATTGAATTATTTATCTTGATTATTATTATAATTTGGATCTTAATTATTGATTTAAATCCTTTTTTTATTTTCTGCATTTCAACTTCTATCCAAAATTGTTTGATCTATGAAAATTCTATTTAATTATTCTGTATTTATATAATTTTAATAATATCATTTTTATAATTAATTTGCTAGATTAACTTATGAAGGATAAGGGGACAATGCAACTGAATATGGAATACTATTTAGACTTTAAAAGTTTCCCATGTGATTCTAATTCACAATAGATCTTTGATTATAGATTCCACTTTATTATTAATGGATTTCATTAGATTGAAGCATAACAATAGATCGAAAAAACTTAGGATCATACATAACAGAACCTAAACTATTTGGATTAGACAAATAATTTTCTTATTAAATACCTACTTAATTTGTCTCTGTAGATTTAGTCAGATAGATATAAAGTTATTCTGGTGAGGCAAAATAAATTTAATTGTTTTCCTTATTAATAAGACATGGTGTAAAAGTTGCTAATTCATCATCATTAAGTTAAGATTCCTTTACTTGCAATTATAATTTTTCAATGTTCTTAAAATTTGAAATCTTTTACTTAAAATCTTTATAAAATGTTCCTTGTGATTCTATTCTCACTTTCTTAACTATATCTTAATGTTCTTCTTTGACTTCATCATTTTATTCATTTTATTAGATGTTTTCACTTTATTGAATACGCCATTCTATTTTCTTAATGATTATGTTAATAAGCTTAATTTCTTCATGAGTTAATTCTTCAGTTTAAGCCAAGTTCGAAATTGATGATTCCTCTGATTAATTTTCATCCTCATCTTTTTTCCTTTTAATAGTTCACAAATTCTACCCAGATTTATGACATTTTTCTTTTCTTAGTAGACAATTAAATCGATTTTTAACATTGTTCTCACTTCTTGCAACTTTAAGTTTTTTAGATATCAATGCCCATTTTTTTCCTATTTCTTTAGCCTAACACATTAGATCTAAATCTTCACTTAATTACCAAGGATTTCTATTCTTTTAAATTTGAAAACATTACCTATTGATATTAGGGTTGAGATGATTATTCCATCTTTCTCTACATTATTTACCATTTCTATGAACTTACTGATCGTTTGCTTTATTGAGAACTGTGGCAATTTGACTCCATTTATTACCCTTATTTTAACTTTAGAAATCATATATTATCTTTTATAATAGATTATCCTCATCAAATGTCCATGGAGCTTATTACAAAGGGAGTTTAAGCATTTATAGCCACTTCTATTTACATTTGAATGCATCTCTACGAGGCATCATACTCGCAATGGAACTCCAATCAGTATCGTTCTGAATAGACAATCATTTTATACTAATTATATTATATCTCTTTTATTTAGTGTAAACCACTTTCCCACTAACCAAATTAGAACCTTTTTATCATCATCAGTCCAATTTTTTTTGAGTTTATTTGGTTGAGTTTATAGATTAAGTTTATTCGTTTGTTGTATGTTGAACACTTCTTGATCATCTGGAAAAGTATCAATTTTTAGATTAAACTTTTCTCTCATATAATTGAATCTAACATTCACTACTCCTTTAACTTTAGCAAAGAAATTAAGGAAATTTTAATAAAAATCGTCCATTAATTGTCTATCAATTTACTACATTTTTAATTATATTAATGTGTTAATATTTTATGAGAGTTATATATGTCAAGTTAGAATATGCAATTTAAAATTAATAAGATTAGAAGTTCTTTTTATATATATATTAACATATGGTACTCTCTTTAATATCCTATTCAATAATGAATCTATGTTATCAAATAATAACTGATTATTTTAAATAATTTAATTAAACCTACAATTAGAAGATACAATCATATAAATTTAAGATAATCTATTGAAATTAATTTATATTATTAAATTTTTGTTTAATCTTCTCCATTCATCAAAATTTAATTTTTTTGGATCTCATCTACAAAGATATTATTATTTAACCAAACTAAAATATATTGGATTTTCATATAATATCTCCATTTATTATATTATTTATAATATTTTTTGGCCAAAATGATCCCATTCTATTCTAAATAGACTATCCATATATATTTCTATTATTAATATTCTATACTCTCTTATTCTAATACATTCATATTTTTATTAAATTCATTATTAAAATTAATACATCTATAAATATATAAATGCAAAACATTATACAAAGTGGTTCAGATGAAGAAACAGAATTTATATTCGATTCTAATACAGTTCAACTTAATGATAGTAAGACTAAAATATCAAAAGCTAATGTAAATTATTTAATCTAATTATGATTATAGAATGAGATTATACAATTGAATGAGTAAAATAAAGAATTAGCCACTTAACTTAATAAACAGAATGAATTACTTGATTTAAAACATAAGTAGAATTAATAATTATAAATAGAAGGTATAAATGATGTTTAAAATTATTAGTAATAAAATTGAAAGAATTAGTTGATGATAGAGAACTTAAACTATTATAATCTATGAAAGAAAAACAATAATTATAGAATGATTTAATCAATTTACATGATATTTTGGATTAAACTACTTAAAGAAATGATCAATTAAATTCTGAAGTTTTTGCAATTAGATTAACTATGGAATAATTATAATGTAAAAATATTGAATTATTATAGAAACTACAACAATGTGTAAAGAAGACACAAATTAAGCATTACTGAGAGAATTGAGATTGAAAGAAAATCTTGATTAATAAACTAAAGTTATTAAATAAAATGAAGAAACAATTAGAAAACTATCTAATGAGCTTAATTAAAAATAAGCTTAATTTAAAATAGATATTCAAAATAGAGATAACATAATATAAGATTTAAAGAGATAACATGATTTATAATTGTAATAGAATACTGAAATAATTTCTGAATTAATAGAATTTAAGAACTAAAATCTATAAAATTCTGTAATGAGTAAAGATTATAAACCAGAACTTACTAAAATGACTAAGGATATTGAGGAATATAAAAATATAATTAAAGGTTAAACTCATTAAATTAGCATTTTAAATGAAAAGATTTTGGCACTCTAAAATTAATTATCAAAATCTGAATAATCTATTGCTAATTATTTAATTGAAATATAATAGATAAAATAAAAATTAAAGGAAAAAGAATAAGAATTATAAATTAAACTTAATGAAAATATTTTGATAATTGATAAATTAAATACTTAAATTTAATAATTGACTAATTAATTGTAATTGTTAAAAAATTAGGATTAAAAAATTAATTTTGTTAGAAGTATTTCTTAACCTTCTGATGAAAAATTTATTAAAGATTTATAATTAAAAACAGAATAAATTACTATGTTATAAAATGAAAATAATTAATTAGTTAAATTAATTGAAACATTAAAAAGTTAGAAATGTATTCATTTATTTAATTAATTTAGCTGATAATCAAGGAAATGAAATACTTAAAGTTAGATAATTAGAATCAGAATTAAAAAATCTCTAATCATTCATTTATGATAGTCCTTTAGTAGTATTATTTAATCTTCTTGAAGACAGATTATCAAAATAATAATAAAAAAGTTTTGAAAATAAGAAAAAAATTTAAGAGTTTTGGAGCAATCAATTAAAATAATGGGTAGAAGGTTTTGAAGAATTAAAAAAAGCATTTGGTGGTTTAAAAATATAATTCAAATATGATCTCAAGTATCCTGCTCAATAATTAAATGAATGAAAAAATCATATGAAATTATATATATATATATAATATTATTCAAATTTTACTAAATATATAATAATTAATATTTTGAAATACAATCAATATTAATATAAATTTAATCAATCATCATCGGAACTGGAACTACTAGACGAACTACTAGAACTACTAGATGATGAACTACCAGATGAATCATCGGAACTCAATGGATTGGCATCCTTTAGCACTCTAAATTCGTTCTTGTCTATATCATCTAATTTAAGTGCTCTTTCATACAAATCGGACCTTTTCTCCTTAAATGCCTCTAATAATCTTTGACTAAACTTTGGCCTTTCGTCTCTTACAGATCTACATATAATATACTATAATATATACCTCCAAATCTTATCAAAGTTATTGATCGACATAAAATTTTATGTTAAAGCAACTGAATTATCTAAATTTAAGACTGCATGCCACCAACCTCCAGGTACAAATATAGTATCACCAGGACCTTATACACACATTACAATCTTTAAATTATCAGCACCTTCTTTTTCAATTAATTTTGGCAAAGCATAAAGGAAATAATCTATAGATTCATCCAATACTTCTGGATCAATTTCCTTTTTTGCAGCAAGTCCTTTAGCTTTTACAATTGATTTTGGTATATCAGGTGGAAATAGTACCCATAATTTATGTCCTTATAATGATGTATTCCATGCACTTGTCATTAATGGATCTATATGAACTGTAGTACCAGATCGTTTTGGTCTATTAATTAAATTATAAATTACCCAACTAAAAACCATCTATAAGGAGGACGATGTTTCTCTCCTACCATAGAAAAGAAATCTTCTTAAAAGTATTTATGTTATTTGTATCTTCCAATCATATCTGCTCCTCCATCCTTTAAATCTTCAACTGAACTATGAAATTATTATTAATTAATATACCTTTCAAATAAGTAAAGAGGAGAATCATCCTTATTGTATACTAAATATTCAAGAAAATATTTGAATGGTAATCTTAACTTTCTTCCTTTATCATCTTCTCCAATTTTAAAGCTAGTCTCTTTATAATGTTAATATAATTTTTCAAAAGTCCAATATTTTTCAACATTCCAATCATCTGTTGTATTTGTTATTATACAAGGAATGTCTGGAATTTCAAATTGATTCACAAATTATTCTGCAGTAAATGTACGACCATCTACTTTAGCTATTGTAAAATATCTAAATCAATTAATTATTACTTTTCATATTATTTTCTCAATTCTTTTAGACTCTTTTCATAATGATTTCTTTTATACCATTCTTTCAATCTTAAGTGACTTCTGTCTTTTAATTTTATTTCCTCTATCAACTCCTATGCTTTTGAGCTCATTTCTTTTTCAAAGAATCTAGATGATTTTAACTTAAGCTTTTTAGCTGTTTCCATAATTTAATTATATTTATTTCATAATTTTATCATTTTATCATTTCTTTAATTTAGTTCCAAAGTTTAACTTTAACTAGTAATTCAATTCAATTTTAATTTTAACTTGAAATGAATTACAAGTAATGGTATAAAAAATCAAATACTCTTTTTGTTTATGTTATAAACTTCACTTAATAGAAGTCTGATCATGTCTATAAATAACATTCCAGAATATTCAATCATTTAGATTAGATAATAAAGTCTCTTTCTTAATATCTTATTTAATTATAAACTCTCATATATTATATGATAAATTTTTGTGTATATATAACTAATATAAATAGTTATGGGCATATTTAGAGAAATCTAATTCTAAGAAAACTAAAATGAGAGACTGAAGCATAAATATAGATCTGAAAAATAAAGTTAATATGAATAATTATGATCAGTTTATATATTTGTTTTCAAATCTCCTCTATTTCTTATGCTTAATAACATTAATGATTTGGAGAACAGGTCTCTATAAATAATCATAAATAAACTATACTTTATAACTATGCAAGGTTATGAACCATATGCTTTTATTTTAAGCTTTTAAAGGCTACCATACCTTTGAACTAATGATCATGACAATCTAATTTTTATGCGTATTCATCAAAATCTGTTTTTTTATGTAAATCCTTCTAAGCTGTGCACCCCATAATAGTTTTTATATTAAATTGCTAAAAATAAGATTTTTTTTATTTTTTCCAGCTAATAAAAGTACATAGCAAAAATTATATACGTCATATTTAAGTTCGAAATATTACAATTACAATTCAACTAATCATAAAAAGTTTTATCTTTGTTTATATCAATAAAAAATATAGAAATGATTGATAAATATAGACTGGTAGAGTCTGAGAAAATTATAATAATTTATATTAAAAAAAAGCAATTGAAGATTAGAATCTATAATTGAATAGAAAATATATAGTTAATTATAAAAAATGGATTAATATGATTTTTGATAAACCATTTTAAATAATTTAAAGTTATGATTATGAGATCACATTTATTTATTCAGACTCACTTAACCAGTATATCTTTATAGAAATAATTGTATTTTTAAGTTTAATTAACTGAATTATAAGAAATCTTTAATGACTTTGAATGCTTTCTGTAATAGATAATAAAATATAAAGTTTTGCAATAGCATTATTTCAAAATATATTTTATTTTCTATTTAATAATATATTTATTTATAGCAATATTTTTTGCCTTTTTAGAATAAGAATAGTAAAAATATCATAAATATTATTATTAATATATTTTCATCCATATATAATACTAATTTACAATCATAATAGTGAATACTCATTTCTAAAATCTATTTTCAACTCCCAAACTCTCCCTTATTTTATTTATGTTCTCTTCATTTTTCTACTATTCTCTAATCTTTTAAACCAACTAACTAGCTTTCTATTTAGAAATCATTAATGACTTCTATAAAATCTCATTTAAATCATTATCATTATCCTTAATCTTATCACCAAATACTCTTGCTAAATGTAAACATTCAACTTTTTTGACTAATCTCTATTCTTATTCATCTTTATTTGAATCCCTATTCCCATTCTTTTTTTCCTCCTACAAGATCTATTAAGCTCTTAAATCTTCATTATATTAAACAGTATAAGGACTAATAATTATTGTGATTTCCCCCTTCAATTAAGAAGGAGTAACAACTTTAGGATCAGTTAATTATTCATAGATCTCTCTACATTTTCCTCTTATTTTCTTTTCATTTTACTTTGTTAAATCAAATCCAATCCAAACTTGTTGATTTTCTCCAAATATCTCTTCAATTTTTAATATAGTTTAATGAATTCTATTAGAAGATTCAAACAACACTATTGTTGATGGTTACTTCTTATACAAAGTTAAAATATCCTTATTACTCTCTTGAATTGAGAAAACACCTAAAAAAGTGAAATTATCTGCAGGAAATCCACAAGCACTTAATGCAACTGAAATAGCACTTGCACCTGGTAATACTTCAATTTAAACATTCTTCTCTATACATTTATTAACAAATTTAAATCCATTATCTGATATTGCTGGAGTACCACTATTACATACTAATGCTATATTTAAACCCATTTTCATCATTGCAATTAATCTATCAATTTTATTTTCATCATTAAAGTTAATACAACCAACAATTAATCCTCTTCCTTTTTATTTTTTAGCTTATGCTACTTTATTTCTTAAATACATCATCAAAGGTGCACTTAAACCGTATACTTCAAATTCAGATAGATTTATTTCTTCTTCTTATTGTTCTTCTTGTATATCTTTCTACTTTTAAGATAATTTCCCTTATTATTCTTTCAATTCTTCTAATTTCTTTTACTTATAAAACTTAAAATCTGTTGATGTTATAAATTCTTTATTTAATTCTGGCAATTTTCTAAATACTATTGGCTTATATACTCTTTCAATTAATTAGTTGATTTAAATATAATATCTTAAATTTATATGTCATCTTCATCCAAATCACATTCCTTAAAATCTTCAGGAACAATCATTTATTGAATGTCACCATCTTTATTTCTAATATTTTTAATGAAAAATCCAGTTGTATTAATATCTTAACATGCAATTATATCTACTCCAAATATTGTTAGATTTTATCTAACACTCCAATCTTAAAAATTTCCTATAGGAGTAGGACATATTGTTAAAGTTCCTTTATTTTATGACATTTAACCAATTTCAAGAATTTCATCCTAATGTTAGTATTAATTTTATACAATTTTAGAAGAGAATTGTCGCACTAAACGAGTAGCATATCTGATCATCAATAGTTTAAATTAATTAATATTGTCATATGGGAAATAAATAATAATAAGCCAAAAAGAGAAATAGCAATTTGAGTTTGAATAGTATGGGTAGGTCAGTTTCAACAGCTCCAACAAATGAGTCAGGTTTAATTAGATTTACAACAGATGGAAGCTTAAGTTCTTCCATGTTTGGAGGAGTTGAGTTTTATTTTAATCGTATGCCTAACCCTGTTATTGATGGAATATGTAAATTCCTAACAATTAATGATCTTACAAATTTATATTGCACTAGTAGGTTTGTTTACGAGAGATTTTACACATCTCTTCCTTACTCAATTGCATGTGGAAATCTATTGTACAAATAGTATGAAGACAGAAGAGGCATTGCATAATAAGCAGTACAAACTAAACATGCATCTTGGCCACAAGTCCTAGAGGTTTTTATATAAAATAAGTAATTTATTCATATTTATCAAAAATGGTAGAAAATAAATGTAAAATCTGCAAATGAATCTCAGATAAGCTTTGCAGAATGCCTATCAATTGCATATCATTTATCCTCCATTACTTATGGATGAAGTAACAAAAGAAGGGTTGAACTCAGATTTTTAAAGATAAATTATGCAAAAATTATCAGATAGTTAAGAATGCCACACTATTACTGAAATCCAAATAATGAATTAAACTAGAGCTTATTTCAAAAAATCATCTCTTTAAAAATAATAATTGATAAATTAATTATTAGAGATAAGAACAATCAGAGTATTCTCTATAGATGAAAAGTAACAGTTTATA